AGGAGCTGGAATATCAACACTCGGAATTCTTTGCACATCAACTCAGTGCATTTGAAGTATACCTTAGCCAAGGTGCGCTGGAGCAAAAGGTTCCAGAGCAACTTCCAATTGTCTTGCAAGTACTCCTGAGTCAAGTACATCGTCTACGCGCCCTGATCCTTTTGGGTAAGTTCCTCGATCTAGGGCCATGGGCTGTCAATCTTGCTCTCAGCATTGGCATCTTTCCCTACGTCTTGAAATTACTTCAATCTCAGGCGATTGAGCTCAAACCTGTCATGGTCTTCATCTGGACTCGCATCCTGGCTATTGACCAATCATGTCAATCGGACCTGCTCAAAGACAATGGTTACGCCTACTTTATCAACATTATAAGCCCCCAAACCGGTATTCCCGTTGGCAACATGGCTGAGCATCGTGCCATGTGCGCGTTCATCATTGCCATGTTTTGCAAAGACTTTCGTCCGGGACAGAATGTATGTCTGAGCACCAATCCTGAACTCATTGAGAGTCTTTTGAGTCATTTGGTGGATATGGAGAATCCCCTACTCAGGCAGCATTCTTGCTTGTGCATTAGTATGCTCTGGTATGATTTCCCTGAAGCCAAATGGCAAGGTATACGCTCTCAAGCGCACATGCGCCTCTGTGATCTTGCTCTTGATCCTGTGCCCGAGGTTAGAACAGCAATGCTGCATGCTTTGACAAGTTTCTTGGGAATTCCAGACGTGACGGATCAAGTTGCGTACATTGAGGAAACCATTGCCTCAATTATCCTCGCCATGGCAAATGATAGCAGCGTCATGGTTCGCAAGGAGCTGCTTGTGTTCCATTCCACCTTTATCGCAAGGTACAAGAACAAGTTCATCGTGGCAGCATATGAGCAGTTCACAGAAGAGCACGCGGCTCATCTAGCTCAAGATGCCAGCATTCATCGTCCAACAACACCCTCGGAAGCAGTCGGATCATATGAAAGCAAGCGCGATTTGTCCCTTGAGTCCCATAATTCTTTCTCGAGAGGTTCCGTTGAGTCAGCGGCATCCAGAAACACCGTGTTTTCGGCAATGTGGAAGCAAATCTTGATCATATCAGCCGATCCCCATCCAGAGATTGCAAGAAACGCGGGCATTATTCTGGACAACGTCTTGGGTGCCCTGTTCGATTCTCCGCTGGCTGTATACGTGCATCAGATGCTAGATGATATGGCAGCACGGCCAATTCCCTATGCTCAAGTGCCGGCTACTTTACCGGACGGACCAACAAGACTACAGCACTCAGATGTCCCCCGACCTCCACCATCCCCAACACCATCGACGAGTTCAAAACATGATGGGTATTTTTCAGTTTCTGCGGGTCTGAGACGTACAGCTAGTATGGCTGCTTCCATCAAGAATCTTGCTTCCTTTGGTGTTGGCAGAGCTTCTCAAGACCCTTCACAGAGCCAATCCTTACGAGGACCAGGAACTGGCAGACGGTCTCAAGTTCCCTCGGATTGGAACAGACCACCAGATGCCGCTGATCCACAACCAACCCGCGTTCGTGGTCATCAGATTGCAAAGTCACCATCGGTGCCCAACTTTGAACCCAGAAACTTTTCTCAGCCTCCAACAATTCCTTTGACGTCCAACTTCTTCCAGTGGTCAGCTTCATATTTCAGGGAACCCCAGATGCGACCATCGGAGGCCGACGAGCCAGGATCTCTAGACTATAACGAACGATTGTGGCGACGCAATCGTAATGACAAGATAATTGCTTCGACACAGCCACTCAAGGAAGTTGCGGGCACTGGCCGCTGGGACGTTCCCGCAGGGGTGCTTGCAACCAACAGCCCTCCGATGAGAATGGTTTTTCATCAATTTGAAGACCACCTTGTCATTAGTGATGATCAGGATGGCATCACTGTGTGGGACTGGCACCGGGAGAGAAGATTGGCACGGTTCAGTGCAGGCAATCCTCATGGTAGCAAAATCAGCGATCTTCGTTTTATCAATGAAGATGACCAAGCGCTGCTCATGACTGGTAGCTCGGATGGAGTCATCAAAGTTTTCCGAAATTACGAGAACGAGAAGGAAGTCGAGCTGGTCGCTGCATTCCGCGCACTTACAGATCTTGTACCTAGCACGCACAATGCGGGACTGGTATTTGACTGGCAGCAAGGCCAGGGACGTGTCTTGGTCGCAGGTGATCTTCGAGTCATTCGGGTGTGGCAAGCTGGTACAGAGTTGTGCACTGCAGATATTCCAGCAAGATCGGGTTCTTGCGTGACTAGCTTGACCTCGGATCAAGTAGAAGGCAATGTCTTTGTGGCAGGCTTTGGCGACGGTGCAATTCGTGTCTATGATCAGCGCAACCGACCAGCAGAAAGCATGGTACGGGTATGGAAAGAACACAAGGGATGGGTTGTTGGATGTCATTTGCAGCGTGGTGGCATGCGAGAACTCATTTCAGCAGAACGTGGCGGTGCCGTCAGGCTCTGGGACATTCGTATGGATCGCAGTGTGGGTGTAGTCAAAGGCAAGGGTGAGGGTGGTATCGGCACGTGTCGAACCTTGAGCGTGCATGAGCATGCACCCGTGTTTGCAACGTAAGTTGAATGTTCATGTGTTGAGATATGGAGATTGGTACTAACAGACGTACACAGAGGGTCGTCTCACAATGCAGTCCGCGTCTTCTCAACCAACAATGTTACGGCGACGGCAGCAAACTCGACACCGCTGTCAACCATCGAGCCATTCAGCAACTTTTTGCATACCAATGTGCTTTCGTCACATCGACCAACGCCGATTGCCTCGACGGCATTTCATCCGCACAGGATGATGTTGGCGTGTTCTACAGTCAATGACGGACATGTCAGTCTGTTCAAGTGCGCATCGAGAGACGGCTCCATGCTTGGCGGGCAGAATGGCATCGTCAAGGAATGGGAGGCGTGAAATTTATGACCTTGCTCAACCGCTTGATATCAGAGAACCATACGACATGATTCGTGTTTGACGATTGAGAAGCTAGGAGGCAATGGCTTCTTTGTAGGCGATACAATGAGTGGGCGATTTAAGCATAGCGAGAAGGGAAGGCGTTTGTTGGTTGCTGATAATTGCTACAAGTGTATTAATGCTAGTGTGAAGCGGGTGTCGCATTATTATCGCAGGCGGTGATGTATATCGATGAAAGATGTGCAATAGACATGTTCCCACGAAGGATTCTACCATAATGTACGATACAATGTAAATGCAAGCGTGTTGAGTGTCAACCAAGTCAAGCTTGTCATGAGCGAAGCTTGCGTCGAAATAGACTCAAGCATACCACGATAACAGCAAGGCTAGTGCTGCGAACACAGTGACAAGGGTTAGATGTCGAGTAGATGTAACACTATCGTCTTTATTCGTCTACACCGTCAGAGTGACAAGCAGGCGGAGTTATTCAGATTGATCAGCTTGTCAGCAGGGCAACCCTGTACCAGACATACTAGCAGCCGTTTCTGCTCTCAACTTGCATGATCGTTTTACCTTAGAGAATCGTATGCTGTCGTCTGAGACTGTATGATACTAATACGCCTGCAGAGGTGTATTGTCAAAGGGGTAGGTGTGATGTGAATAGGAACATGATCCATAATCATGATTTTACAGGCATCTAAGTATAGCTTGCGTTGAGATCTTCACGTACGACGGGAACCTGATCAAGATTCTCACGTTGAATCATGTTGGTCTTGCCCTCGACCAACTGCATCATCATGTAATTGCAGACGCATTGCATGCCCATTTCTTCGCCTCTTTGGACAATGTAACCGTTGATGTAGCGGACCTCGGTCTTTTTGCCGGCACGCACATCGGCAAGCATGCTACTAATGTTGTCGCCCGTCTTGTTTGCAATGCTGACGATCAACGTCTCGAGACGCTCGGGTGAAAAGCGATCTTGAATGTTGGGCAAGCCTCGTAGCTCGGGCAGCGAGCGAATGACCAAGGAGATCTCGGCCAGCAACAAGCGCATGGTGCGGGTGATTGCAAAGTTGTATAGAATGGAGCCATTGGGAGCGTCCAGCATGACGGTCAATGGGTTGATGACGGCGTTGACGGCCAGTTTCTCGAGTTGCTGCTGCATGAATTCAAGAGGTGGAAAGCCAACGGCGGCGAGGACGGGACTGCCGGTCAGGGCACGTAGCAAGTAGCGGGCGGTAGGTGCAAGGGNGACAGAGGCCGAGGGGTTGTCTTTGAGGTCACCTCTCGGCAGGGCAGCTAGAGCAATGGTTCCATGGGCGGCATGGACGGCGAAGAAGGGGTCGTTGGGGTCGGGAGAATGTAGTCCATGCGTGACGACACCCTGTATGTAGTTTGGGCGAGTGACGGGGTCTGGAAAGATTTCTTTGTTGACTTGGTCTATGATGCCCATACCGTTTTGCAACAGACAGACGGTCGACTTGGGTCGTAGGCGGTGCTTGACGGCATCGAGGGCACTGAGTGTAAACGGGGCCTTTGCGGTCAGGATCAAGTTGTCAATGGGCTCTTGGTCCGAGGCATCGAGTGGGTCGTGGTCGTGGTCGTGGTCGTCGGGCTCTAGGCGCTCGCCATGGCTGCGTCGATGTGGCAGGGCCAGGTCGACGTCAAAGCCGGACCGAGGGACGCGGTGGCCGTCAGACTCTAGGACAATGGTCTGGTCGCTTTGGTTCCATGCGTTGAGCAGGCGCGGCCGGTGGAAGAGCAGAGTGACGGGTGGCGGGTTGTTGTTGCCGGCGCGCAGCGAGTGGGCAATCAGCTTGCCCACGTTGCCGACGCCATAGACATGGATGCGCCGCGGGACGCTGCTCTCGCGCGCATACTGTTCGCTAGCTGCCGTATACGTGCGCCGCCCGAGACTGCTGCTGCCGACCGAGCGTCGTACGAGGAAGGTGCATGGCTGGAGTGGCATGATTGTGCTCTCAAGAAGGAAGGCGCCAGAGAGACGAACCATGACGCAGCTCCTTCCTTCGCTCGGCTGCTCAATCATAAATCCATCTTTCCTCCTCTCTCTCGACAATGCCGTTACGCATACACACGCGCTCCTTTTCCGTGCTCAGTCGCCCAAAGCCAAACTACCCTGGCCATGTGCCCTTGACCGTCGTCGAGCGATGCGGCCTGGCCGTCGGCTCTGCCCTTGGCTCCATGCTCGACCACCACCGCCACGGTACCTTTTCTCTCTCTTGCTCTCTCTCTCTCTCTTTCCCTCTCTCTCTTTCCCTCTCTCTCTCTGTCCCTCTCTCTCTCTCTCTCCCCTCTCTCCCCTCTCTCTCTCTCTCTCTCTCCCCATCTCTCTCCCCATCTCTCTCCCCCTCTCTATCCCTCTCTCTCTCTCCCCTCTCTTCCTCACTGACCCATCCAGACCTGGTTGCTGCTCTGGGCGAGGCAACATGCAAGCCCTACTTCATTACCCGCTTGCGACAGAGCATGCTGTCGCATCCCACTGGCCGCCGTATCCTCCGTGACCGTCCCCGCATCTCCAGCCAGACCATGTCGCTCGAACATCTACGTACCCTGCCAGACAATTCGGTCGGCCGCGTCTACGCCCAATGGCTCGATCGCGAGGGCGTCACNCCCGATACCCGCGACCAGGTCCGCTACATTGATGACCCAGAGGAGGCCTATGTCATGCAGCGCTACCGCGAATCCCACGACTTTTACCACGCTCTCACTGGCTTGCCCGTCTTTGCAGAGGGCGAGATTGCTCTCAAGGCCTTTGAGTTTGCAAATACTCTTTTGCCCATGACTGCCCTTTCCATGGCTGCCATCGTCAAGCTCAAGCCTGCTGCTCGCCGCCGCTTCTGGTCCACATATCTACCTTGGGCTGTGTCCAATGGTTTGCGCGCTGAAGACGTCATCAACATCTATTGGGAAGAAGTCCTTGAAAAGGATTGCGATCAATTGAGACAAGAGCTGGGTATCGAGAAGCCTCCAGATCTTCGCGAACAGAGAAAGATGATGAGGGACCAGAAAAAGGCCCAGAAGGCTGCTAGCGAAGCTCGTCAAACTGTTGGTCAAGGTATCATGTCGAATTAATCGTCTCGCGTATGTATACAGCTTCTTTTTATCTATATATCACCACCATATATGGGTATTCGTCCCAGAACATAAAAACAAACGTGGCCTTTTTTAGATCAAAAAAATCATGATTTCCCTCATCTCGTCAGTCTGCTTAGAGCTGGTCCAAAAGACCCTCAGCCTCGAGCATCAACACAATCTGGTGGACAGCTGTGCGCACGCTAATCTTGGTCAGGTCAACGGTAAGGTTGGCCTCACCCTCGGCAGGGGTCTCGTACGGGTCGTCGACACCGGTGAAGTTCTTAATCTCACCACGACGAGCGGCAGCGTAGATGCCTCTGCGGTCAGTCTTTTCACACTCCTCCAGCGGCGTGGCAACGTGAACGAGGTAGAAGGATCCGTACTTTTCGACAAGCTCGCGGGCGTGCTTTCTGCTTGACTGGAAGGGTGCAATGGGAGCGGCAATGACGGCGGCGCCAGCCTTGGTCAACTCACTGGCAACGAAGCCAATGCGGCCAACGTTGGTGTTGCGATCCTCCTTGTTGAAGCCAAGCTCTGAGCTGAGCTCTGAGCGGACAGTCTCTCCGAGAAGAAGCGATACGGTACGGCCACCTTGCTGGTTGAAGGTGACATTCAGAGCACGGGCAATGGCGTCCTTGCCGCTGTTGGCGTAACCAGTCAGGAAAACGGTGAAACCCTGCTTGTTACGGGCAGGGTGCGACTCGCGAAGCACGCGGACAACCTCGGGGTATGAGAACCACTCGGGAATGTCACCACCAGTGCGCAGACGACGGCGGAGCTCGGTACCCGAAATGTCGAGGGTTCTGACGTCTTTGGGGACCTGGTCTCTGGGGCGGTACTCGTCCGAGTCGGGGAGGTAGGTCATTTGGAGGAAAGGAACAACCTCGATACCGAGCTCGTCTCTGTACTTTTCGACAAGGTCCTGGGCATCATAAGGTCCATAGAAGTCCTGGCCCTGGCTGTTCTTGCCAGGTCCGGCGTGGTCACGACCAACAATGAAATGGGTAGCACCGTGGTTCTTGCGGATAATGGCGTGCCACAGGGCCTCACGAGGACCAGCCATGCGCATAGCCAGAGGAAGAAGGGCGAGGACAGCCATGCCGTTGGGGTAACGGGGGAGGAGGGCCTGGTAGACACGGACACGGGTAAAGTGGTCAATGTCACCGGGCTTGGTGAGACCAACGACGGGGTGGATGAGAACGTTGGCCTGGCGAGAACGAGCAGCGCGGACAGTCAGCTCGCGATGAGCGCGGTGCATGGGGTTTCTGGTCTGGAAAGCGACGACTCTGGACCAGCCAAGCTTGTCGAAGTGCAGACGGATCTCTGCGGGAGAGTCTTGTTTTGCTGGTCAGTCTTTTGGTCGTTGGAAATCGAGTTTCTGTGGCTTCTTACATCTAAGAGCGACATAGTCGTAGTGCATAAGACGATCAATGGCATCAATCTTGCCACCAATGTAGAAGTCACCGGCAGTTCTGTACAGGTACTTGACGGCGGGGTGAGCCTCGTCGTCGGCACCAAAGACCTCGACGGCCTCCTTCTTCTTGTCGGGGCGGTAAATGTCGTCGACGGTGATGATGGCCAAGTTACGGTCGTCTCTGAAATCACGGAGGGTAATGCGGGCACCAGCCTTTGCCTTGACCTCGTCAATTGTCTCTTGGAAGACATCAAGACAGATGGGCATAGAGAACAGGTTGCCGTCAACGAGACGGTTATTGTCGACGACACTGCACTCAATCAGTGTCTGCAGCTTGTTTGCTCGTTTGTCCTTTTGATGCGTACCNNCATTGTAGTCCTTCTCATTCATGAAGCNCTGTGGTTGACCAGTCAGAAACCCGTCCTACTGTTGTACGAATCTCGTCTCAGACTTACCCTCAAGAGGGGAGAAGCCTCCATTAAGAATGAGCTCGAGATCACAAAGCTGACGCTCATTGAGGACAATGGCAGGCAGCTTCTCGGCCTCGTCAATGAGTTGCTGACGACGAGGAGCATCGCGAGCGATGAGGTCCTTGAGGATACCACCTAGGCTTCAGTCAGTTTCCGCAAGCCACACGTCTGTGCATTGGCGCCTTGCGTACCGTGGGGAGGGTTGGCCATGGTTGCGTGAATTGGCAGATACGAATGAGTGGTTACGATGAAGGAAAGAAGTCACACGGAATGAAATGAGGAAGAAAAGAGGTAGGAGCCGGGGAAAGAGTTGCGAGACCGGAGAGGCTCCACGACGACTTTATATTTACACTACGGAATACGCAAGCAAGGCTTTTGGTTGAGTAGCAACGATCCGAATCTCGATACTCGATTATCCCACAAAAATTCGTCTCCCCCTCTAAGCATGCCCCTCAGGAACCGCTAACTGCCTTGGCGAACGTGCGAATGTACGTCAGTGGGTGTTGTGCTTGCTGTCAATGCGATGCAGCGTTTCATGCCCTCACGATATTAATCAATTCTTCGTTTCCGATGCACACTGCCATTATCATGCTATTAAACGAAACCTTTTCGTAACAGCTATATAGTGTGCATTTGCACAGATGTGTAATTGTATGACTATGAAAGACGTGGGTCATCATTTATCCAACCTTCCAATGCTGAGGTATCGATTTTCCCATCCAATGCCATTTGAAAAAAAAAGCTCCAATATGCCCCATAATGATCCAACCAACGCCTATGCTAAATTCGCAGAAACATGTAAACAGAAAAACCGACAAGAACATTTAGACGACTTGCTCAATGTTCAGCCCCGAATTGATAGCTTGGCTAAGCTCATCTTGACGCTTTTGCTCTTGCTCTTGCAAGAACATGGCGTAGCGGCTCTTCTTGTTGTGGATGCCGCACTCTGTCTTGGCACGACCCTTCCAGCGACCGGCTCTCTCGTCCTCGCCTTCCTTGACAGGCTGGGTAGAGTGCCAGTCACCAATTGAACGGTAGCCTTGGGACATGAGAGCATTGACGGGGACATTGTTCTCCTTGATGTAGTCGTTGACTTGTTGGAAGGACCAGTTTGCGAGAGGATTGATCTTGATCATGCCTGCATCATCCAGTTCAACAATGTCGAGGTCACCACGCTTGCCTCCTTGGCTACGGCGACGGCCAGTGATGACAGCAGCAACTCCTAGTTCAGCATAAGAACGCTGAGCAGGCTCGACCTTGGCCACATAGTCGTAGAGTTCCTCGTTTGTCTCCCACAACTTCTCGCCGTGCTTGCGGTTGAAGTCTTCTACGTTTTCGCAGCCCTCGGGCTTGTAAGTGTGGATGGTGAGGCTAGGATATCTATCTTTGACGGCTTGTACAAGCTCGTAGGTCTCCTTGAATGCGTGTAGAGTGTCCAGGTAGATCAAGTCGATGTTGGGCTTGATAGGGCTATCAAGCTTGGATACCATGTCATTGATGGCGAGTCCAGTAAGTCCAAAAGCAGTGGTCTGGAAAAGACGAGGCAGAGTCATGATGCACCATTTTAGGATATCNNTATAAAAAGTCAGAGGGGGAAAGTTACTGGGGGCATGATATATGTGCATACCTTGTGGCTCGAGGTTCTGCAATTGCTGGTTGATGAACTTCAGGTGAGGACGAGAGAAGTAAACCTCAGGAAGGCTGGCACTCGAACTACCACTGGCATAGCCAGACTCTGCATCATGGTCGGACGAATATGAACGGGGCATTGTGGCGTGGGGTTGTCGCTGTTTTCTTTGTTCCGTTTCTCAACAACGAGGTGAATATGATTTTGTATGAACGATTGCGGAGTCACGCCTGGTTTGAATTTGTATGACAGATGGATTGAGAGAAGAGAGGGAAGAGAAGACAGAATTGATATTGCTTGCGAGAGCCGGTCACGGCACCTGGATTCAGCGCTTTGAAATCACCATAGAAAAACTCACTGACGTGCTCGTTCTGAGCGATGGTGTGCTTGAGGTTAAACGCTTTCAGGCTTAGCACAGGCATGACAACATAACGATCCAGACTCTAGGCTTGAGATCCGAGTGTAAAACAATAGAGAACGTAGGATGGGAAGTGGCTTGACGGCTCAGTCTATAGAGCAGTGCTTATGGAAAAGTTTGTATGTGTCTCACCACAATCGTTGCTGGAAACGTGGCTCTTAGCAGTGGCGATACGGCTCTTGTTGTCGCTGGAACGTTCTGTAATGATGTCTGTTCTTTGTGATCCCGCCCGGAATGTGTTACTGAAGCCTGTGCCGAACGTTTGTGGTAGATCAGATTCGCCATGTTGGTAATCCTCGTGGATCTGATCGCATCAATTCACCATTCATGGTTATAAATCTCGTCATTGCTTTGGCATCCGGATGATGAGGACGCCAGTCTCCTAGGATACCTCTGCGGCTCTATCACGCACCCCGCAAGCGTATAACCTTGTTTTGCTTGATCATCTTGTTGCTTGCTTCTAGAAGTGTACTGAAGCGCGTCAGTAGGTATTGGATCTTGAACGTGTCGAACGTGAACTGTGGCTGGGAAAGGTCGTTCTCAACCGATCGAGCCTTTTCCTCCGCGCTTTCCGACTTCTCCGTTGCGTCCTCAATTCCGCGGAGAGTCATCAATAATATCAAAACCAACACGCATTGATGATGTGACTGTAGGGCTGATGTATGGCAGCACGCAAGGAGAAGCCGTGAATCGTGACCGCAGTCGTTCGCTTTGCTTTTTTAATTCGCAAGATGGCGCCATCTGATTGATGAAAGACGACAACGCGGAGGAACGGCAAGCGGGAAGAAAGAGAGTTTGACGCGCAGAGGATGTGCACGTGGCGTGCTTAAATTCTACCATACCAACTTCGCTATGAGTTTGGACAGCTCGTCTGAGCCGACAACAAGATTCTTCATGCTTTTAGATAACATCAAATGAATCTGAGACAGGAGGATTAAATATACGTATACGTTGGCATCAACCACAGAGTGTGATGTTAGCGCTGTGCTAGATAGAGACATGAACACATCCGGGTTCGTGAAGAACAAGGGACAATGAAATATTACACGAATTGGAGAGTATGGCGTAAAAGAAAAGTGCCAAACAAGGCAACCATGCCTCATGCCGTAGCTTAGCCACCGATTACCGTGCCGTTAGCTAATGTGACAGAGTGGGTTTGGAGATTTGCACTCATGTCAGCACCAAGATCGATATTTGAAGCATCAATCTGTTGTCCAGTACTTGTCGTTCCAGAGGTGAAGTAGTTTTGGAGGTTCTCCTGGGCAGCGATCGCATTGTTCAATTGGCCCGACTGCTGGAAGACAAAGAGTATGGCAATCCTAGCAAAGTCGAGCGTTGTCGAATCGGACAATGCAGATGAAGAGGACGTCAATGGGGATGTAGTAGCATCAAAGCTCGAAGATGTCGATGAGGATGGTGAATCGCTTGGTGATCCACTTGCAAAGACGATACCATTGCTAGTGACGGCAGCTCCAGAAACAGATGTAGCATCTCCACGTCCCATTAGCACCTTGGTTGGAGAAGGTTTGATCTCAGGCATGTCCTCTTGAACGGAGCGAGCAGAAAGGCCGTTGAATGTGACCAATGCATTCTCCGAGGTGCATGTGAGCTTGGATGAAGCAANAAGGCCCAAGATATTGGTAGCATTGAGTGGAATGCTGAAGTTGGCTGCTGAGCCAGTGAAGAGACGTGGAATAGAACTCCCGAGCGTTACATTTGTCATGTAGCTGCCGATGGTGGTGGTGGTGCAAGAAGCACTCGATGGCTGGGTGCATTCAGAACCTGCGAATCCATTAACGCACAAACAGCTGCAGCTGCCGTCGCTACCCAATATATTGATGCCACCATTGTTGCAGTCTAGAGACTTTTGGCATGTGGCAAGCGCAGAGGCCGAGGCACTGCCGGAAGCATCGTTTTGCTGAGGGATGACGACGAGAACTATTGGGATTATGACAGCAGCAGCAATGAGCATTACCATGAGCAAGAGTAGTGTAAAGAAGAGCCACAATGGCATACCACAGCATCTTCTTTTTCGCTCAGGCTCTTCGCCAAGATCACTTGCCGAAGGAAGAGAGCTGTGTTGTAAGTTTGAAGACCATGGCATTGCTCTGGAACCCCTGGATCCAGTGGGAGTGGCAAGTCCTGGTGGGGNGAATGAAGCGAGAATATCTGAAAGTGAACCAGATCTCCTACTGTCCGAAGCATGTGCTTGTTGCGCATCGTCATCAANAAAGTTGAGACCAAGTCTGCTCGCAGTCCGGCCGCGATCGAGGTTGGACGCAACTTTGGTAGCTCTACGAATAAGGTCTGAGAGACTGGTAAGACTGCCACGAGCTTCTGCTTCCCGAACGGCATCAACATTGAGCCTTGGTGGCCGCTTGGAACCCACTCGCTCGCCAAGTGTCGTTTGTTTCTCCAAGTCGTGAATGTCCTTCTTTTCGGACACTTGTAAAGAAGAGATTATAGACTTTTCTCCAATCGACTTGACATGTACCATTGCGTCTCTGCCGAGAATATCGGAGCTGCTAGTTCGTGTAGACAATTGAGGAAAAGACTTTTCGGAGCGTTCATCAGGAGACATGTCAACCATAGGATAGTTCATGTCTAGAGCTTGACGTTTATCATCTTCAGCACCATGGCGAGAATGATCCAGGGGTCGAGTCTGACTATCTGGTCGTAGATCGCCATTTTTTATCGTGGTCAAGACTGGTGTCGATTTGCGACCGATGCTAGCCTGACGAACAGGAATAGGGCGCATCATCTGTTCGGGCTCACTATCGTCAGAATCTTCGTATTGATCTTGAAAAGGAGATTGCTTGTCTTGACGCATGTCATGCTGGTCGGCAAGATGCTTCGAGATGCCAATAGGAATCGCATTGCTAGAAGCAAAAGAACTCTTCGAGTCGCGCAATCCTCGTTGACTGTCTGTTTCCTCCAAAATCGGCGCGACATGGTTTGTTTGCGGATAGTACGATGCAGGACCTTTGCGCGCTGAAGGAGGAGGACCCAATGGGGNGCGGCGATTTGGTTGATATATCGGCCTAGCAACTTGTTGGGGGACTCGTGGAGCCTGAGGGATGGGATGATCGGGAATCGAGTAGACGGAAGACCCAGTAGAGTCGCGATGAGTTTCGGCAAAAGGACGAGGTACGTCTGGCGATAGAGAGTTGGGCGAGACGTCATTGATCCAAGCGCTTATAGGCTCTTGATGAATGTATTGTCTGACTGGGTGGCCCGAATCTTGACGATATTGAGGAATGGTGCGTGTGACCATTGGTGATTCCCTGTTTGCAGCTGGTCGTGGTCGACCCAGTACAAAGGGTGCCTGATCTGGTCGAAGTGGTCTGCTAGGTTGCGACCGTTGAGAAGGGTGCAGAGAAGGATTGGGTGCGCCAGGCCTCGCATCCCCATTGCTTCGTGAAGACTGCTGAGATGATTGATGGTGTGGACGCTGTGGTAGACGTCCCTCGCGTTGATAAAGCATTGTATGTGTTTATGGCGACTGTTCTTGGTGACAGCGAGTTTCCTTTTGCAAGCGTGAGGCTGGAATTGAAGAAAATAGGAGAAGCCGGCTCTCTAGAAGGTATCGTGCTGTCGGTGTAGAATTGTAGCCGGGTTGAATCAAGCGAATGTGGTGATGTGTCAAAACGAGTGTAATCGGTCCAGATTTGTTATACTCTTTTGCAGGACCCAGACATGTGAGCAGAGATATATGAGAAGCGAAGATAGCGCAAGATACTGAGGTCCTTGGCAAGAACGCTATCGCGTGCGAAGCGTATAGAAGTATTCGTACCAGGGTCAAAAGGGCTGTAGAACGACAAGAGAATGAAAGAGTGAATGACAAGTCGCGACCAGCGTCCGATTGGCAAAGCAGCGATCTACGCGACCTTGGACGTGGCGACACCAAAAAGAGAACAGAAGGAATCAGGAAAACTGCCAGACAAAACCCCATGCAGCATGTCTGCTGCAGGAGGCTCTTAGCTTAGCGAGGCATGGGATAATCGTTGGTAGCGCGCCGTTGCTCGGGCCATCTTGAAACACTGCTGATCGACCTCTGATTTGCTGATTGCTTTGTGACACTTTATTTAGTATTGGACGCGAAGAAGTCAAATCTACACATCTTTTATAATGCCCTAGACTTGTTGGCGACTATTTACCTCGAGTTATTTCAGCTGCTGTCCTACTACACTTCTCCCCATGGGAAGACGTGCTGAGGAACCGCAATCTGCTGTTTGTTTGTGGACGGGATCTGTGTGCATGCTGAAACCAAGATTCGAAACGAGCCTCGCCCTTTCTGGGGAAGGTCAATCTCCGCTCTTGGAGATCAACGTCTCTGGTCCACGCCTGGTACTACTGATGTTATATGATCATGCTCAACCCGTCCAACCATCTTCAAAGGACTCCAGCTATACCAGTTTGCAGGCAGGCTTGTCGCGAGTCTGAGATGTTTACAGGAAATGCAAGATGCTGCTACTTTGAGCAGAGTAATGTGGTGCATGATACTACTACTACTACCATACATGAGGTGGCCCAAGGCTTCCATTCTTCAGATTGGGGCTCTGAATTGCAGCTCGAGCCACTTCACGACCACATGAGGATAGGTGGTTGACTCAGTCGCTGTCTCGATCAGGCTGAATGCCTGAGAGCACCATCCATTATTGTTTCGTACTGGATCCTCTTGCGCCATGTCTGCTCTCTTTGGTAGAATAAGTGGCCAATGCTCTTACGATTAAGAAGGATCCTGCAGACTGCTTTGGGATGGAAGCAAGTCATGGGTGGTACGTCTTTTAAGCAAGCTTCTTGAGTACGTACTGACCACCTTCCAACACCATCTCTTGGCGCAAAATTTCGGTCACCTCCTCGATAGTGTAGCCAAGGATGTAAGCAACGTCCAAAAGGCCGTCGGCGTTAATCTTGGTGGGAGCTTGTACTTGAACCTTTGGCTTTGCGTTGAAGGCAATTCCAAGACCAGCTTGGTGCATCATTAGCAGGTCATTACTCCCGTCACCAACAGCAATCACATTTTCCAATGGAATGCCCTCCTTTTCGGCGATAGATAGAAGCAATGCACGTTTCTTCTCGGCGTGAATGATAGGCATACCTTCCACTAGCTCGCCTGTCAAATGACCATCAACCTCGACCAAGTGGTTGGCATAACAGTAATCAAGACCCAACTCTTGTTTTACCCATTCAGCCAAGGGCGTGAAGCCACCACTCAGCACAGCAGTCTTCCAGCCAAGTTTGCGAAGTACGCGTATCAGTTCACGAGCTCCTGGGGTGAATGAGATGATACCAGCGCGTAAATGTTGCCAGATAGAGACTGGTACACCAGCAAGATGACCGACACGAGCGCGAAGAGATGCCTCAAAGTCGGTGTACGGAGCCTCTCCACGCATTGCAGCCTCGGTGATGCTAGAAACTTGAGCATAACGATCCACAGCGCGAGCCAATTCGTCAATGACTTCCTGCTGGATCAAAGTACTGTCCATGTCGAACACAGCCAGACCCGGAGTTCTGTGAGCCACGTACAAGGCCTGAGGTTGCAACACAATCTCAATATTGTGACGCTGGCACAGGCTGACGATGGAAGCAGTCTTGGTGATTGCGGAACATTCCAATAGGGTGGGTGGTGGATTCTTTTGAGGCAGTGGAATGGCAATCTCCAAGACCCGGCAGCCTTGGCCGTCTTCAGGGCCATCCAAGTAACGGCGGGGAGTCGAGAGTGAACGTCTGATGGAGAGCTCTTCCTGTAGCGTGTAGGTGACAAAGGCTGCAACGTTTTTCCATTGCTCAACATCCAGAGAGCCCTGTCTTAAGAACACAAGTGCAACGACCTGGTTTTTACGCGCGTCGGATCGTTCGCGCTTGACTCTAGGCTTCGACTGTTGTTCAGTGATTTGCTGAGGATCCGCAGCGAATGAGAAGGTCTCATAGGCGACTGACGACATGACAGGCACTGCTTGACTGGGTGATCGCTACATGGGAAGAAAGTCCAGCGAGCGATGAGTTATGGATTGGATGCCAAGACCGCTGGCCGAAGCTCGGAGCAAAATGCTCACTTTTTTTTTTACCAGGTTATAGATTCAGTTTGATAAGGTCTACTTCTTCTCCCAATGAACGATTTGGATCTAAATTCTGACTAAAGAATCGCATTCATATTCACATCTAGACTGGCGACATGTCCAAGGAAGCTCAGCAGAACATTGCTCCGACTCGAAAACTTTTACGCTTGCAAGTCACGAGATGTTTCCGAGCTAACTCGATTAGAGTTCTCGTGTGTAGCTAATATGCGTGCTCTTGCTTTGTACAAGAACTAGATTGGCCACACCTAAGATATGACAAGATATTTGATTGTTATGCTACAGTCTGTACAGCATGGGTGTAGCTATTAGCTGGATCGCATTCTGGAGACCGTGATGACTATATATGGTAGAGAAGTTAGCAAGTCCAGGTTTCTAGAAGTTATAGAAATGGAGACTTGCGACATGACACTCGACGAGCCATAGAGCCAACTGATCATTTCCAGGCCTGACAGAGGTGTCTGGAAAGATAGGTGAACGTATCTCCAGACGCCAAATCTCGCATCCTTGTCTCTCGAGTTCATCTTCCTATAGCATTCTTGAGTGTGCAAGAGAAGAAACCCTGGTGCCCATCATAGACCGAAAGAGTAGTAAGCAGGAGAGAACCTCAAACGCATGTTGTTGTAAAGTCTTGTGGGAAAGAATCGAGGTGGTGGTGATGCGCAAAATACTTGGAGGTTCTGGAAGTTGAGATTGAATGTGGAGATATCACTTTGCTATAGCAATTATGCATTCGGAATCCGAGTCCACTAGATCTTCCGATTGGATGCTTTACCGTGTTCGCACCGCAAGCTGATTAGAAAGTTCAAGATTTGTTATTCCGAAATAGAATTTGAACAAGGAAAATACTCCCGAGCTCTGGTCGTGCGTGCCCATCAAGGTGATTAGGACCATCAAGGTTAAAGACCATCAAGGTAGTTGACACAAAAAGACAAAAACCCGTTGCACAAGGTCGACACGCTCCCGAAGGTCACATCAACATGGCTCAATGCTCTACTCTTCACGACGTGCTCATTATTGGAGCAGGACCATGTGGTTTGGCAGTTTCAGCACGACTTTGTGAGCGAACGCCCTCGGCAATCTTCACCGATACGGAACACCAGCGATACCATTGGATAAGAAGCCATGGGGATCGCGTTTCCATCAAGGACAAGCGGACTGGTCAAATCAAGACACCAAAGAGACCCAAAGATTGCCGCAACTATTCTACCCTCGTCCTCGACGGCACCGACAAGGACTGGATGGCACGATGGAATCATCTGTTCAAGACGTTCGAGATCTCACACTTGAGAAGTCCTCTCTTCTTTCACGTCGACCCCCAGGACCGTGATGGATTACTATCTTATACATATGAACAAGGAAGAGACAATGAGCTCGTTGAAATTCCGGAATGCGTGGGCAAAGAGATTAGCAAGCACAAAAAGAAGCAGAGGCTCAAGTGCAAGACCCATGGGTGTGTATTGATTGATGGTGGCGTTGGTGTATCAAAACCGAAAGCAATACTGACCGTACCTTGCAGAGCTAGACCCCCAGTGACAATCGATGAGCGGGACCGTAAAGACTACTTTACACCTTCTTGCTCCCTCTTCCAGGACTATTGCGAGTGCGTAATTGACCGGTATGGACTAAGGAGCAATCTCATACAGCAAGAGCGAGTTGAGGACATTGACTTTGGTATTGTCCCAGAGGTTTCCGAAACCGAGCAAGTATTCACGGTACGTTCTGCTCAAGGCACGCACCATGCCCGCAGTGTTGTGCTTGCAGTTGGACCAGGAAATGCACCATCCATTCCAGCGGACCTAGGCAAGGTTGGTGAGGGATGTTGCCATGCCATGCAGATTCGAGAGTTTCCGGATCCTTCGGTTAGAGCCAAGTTGCGACAGAAGAAGGATGTAAACATGGTGGTCGTGGGTGGTGGCCTGACTTCTGCTCAACTGACGGTAATGGCAAGTAAGCACGGGGCAAGAAAAGTGTTTCATCTGGTCAGGGGTCGACTAAGAGTCAAACCTTTTGACGTGGACTTGAACTGGATGGGCAAATTTCGCAATTTTGAAGAAGCATCTTTTTGGTCGGCAAATACTGATGAAGGTAAGAAGAGAGCATACAGTCAACCAACCAAGATATTTCTGCTGAACATTAGCNNAGAGCGGCTCGAGAAAATCAAGGAAGCCCGTGGAGGCGGGTCAATCACTCCTAGATACCACAAGCTACTCAAGCAGTATGTAACTGCCGGCAAGGTTGCCCTACACACCGAAACGATAATTGCTTCGTCAACCTTTTCTGACGGATCGTGGTCGCTGATCACAAGTCCACCTGTCGACCTACCAAAAATTGACTATGTCTATTTTGCTACTGGTATTGCCAGTGACTTCAGAAGCTTACCCTTTCTGGAGACTATCAATCGCAAGTTTCCCGTTGACGCATACGGCGGACTTCCTGCCTTGACAGATGACTTGATGTGGAAGGATGATGTCCCACTCTTTGTGACAGGACGGCTGGCAGCGTTGCGTCTGGGTCCAGGGGCTGGGAATCTTGCAGGAGCACGCAGTGGTGCAGAGAGGATAGCTTGGGCTATCGAGGATGTCCTGCCGAGGGAACAAGATGAAAAAGAGGATGACGATATGATTTACAATTTCAAGGCCGGTACAGGGAGTCAGTTTTGTAGTCTAGATTGCGAGACATGTATCTAACGCTATATCAATCAACGTCCATCCTTTGACGGTCCACGAGCAGTACAAGTTGGTAACCCATGAGTGCGTCCAGCGAGTAACAAGCATGTTGCCCATATAGTTGCAGCCCTGTCGCCTACCAGGAAAACCCCTACACAGTAGCAGGTACAGCTTGACCATGAGGTCCAGGGTTTCCGCCCGCTCGACTGGCTGGTTTTGCCACTGATCCGTTTCTTCTCTCTTCCGCATCTTCGTCATCGTATGCAGACTCTGNCAGCAACTTGGTAAGTACAAGCAATGTTTTGAACACAAGGAAGAACGAACCTGCCATGAATGGACTCCTAGCTCGGATAGCAGATCCTTGAATAAGAAGGAACACGGGAGCCAAACTCAGAATCAGAGCAACTAGGCCGAGCAGAGTGGAAGCCCATTAATATCCAAGATTGGAATACAATTGAGGAGATGCAAGTGGAAGAAATGCCCCGAAGACGTTTCTTCCAAAAGATGCCGCTGACAGTGCAGAGGCTGAGTACTTACTGTAAGCATCCGTAAAGTAGTTNNCTGCATGGCAAGTCAGCAAATGTCTTGTAGTATTTCTTCCTAGACTTACAACAACAGCTTGGTAAATGGAATAGATACCAAGACCAACCATTGCTATGCCAATAGCTGGTGCAATCCAAGGAACAAAGGTATATGATGTCCACCCATAGACGAACAATCCTGCCGTAAATATTAGAGAGCCTGGAATTGAGAAGTAAAGTCTGGCCTCTGGTATAGGCTTTCCTGGAGATTCTTTGTTTCTTCTCGCCGATTTCAAGTAGAGCTGATTCTGAATGGGGTTGACAATGGTGGCTATCGTAGCTCCTACACTCAGTGAGAGTTGTATAAGCGAAGTCTGAAAGACACTGAACCCATAATTTGTGCTAAAGGTCTGTGTGATAGATGATTGAAACAAGAAAAGCAGGCCCCANNCTTTTTAAAATGGTCAGTAGAGGAATATATATATATGAAAATATTCGAGAAAGTCACTTGCGGCAAATGACACCCAAAGCTAAATAAAAACAGGTCAGAATGAGTACGATATTATACAAGAGAATTCACTACTTACGGTGAATGAGGCGACGGTATACTCTGTCAATAGCATATTGGTAGGTCTTTTGAAGGATACCTTTAGCATCTCAAATACATTGTCCTTGTTTAACTCGCTTTTAGCATAAGCATTTCGGCCTTCTTTGCGAAGCTTCTTGGCTCTCCTTGCAAGAATTACATCGCCTCGAGTTTCCTTGAGGAGAAGCCAGAAGATGGGAAGACACCCAGCNNCTGTAAAAGGATTAGTTGGGCTGTTAGGAGCGGCTCCTCTGACACGTACATTGAAGATGATTTGAATATAATAAATCCATCTCCAATTGAGATTTCGCTGAATGGCTCCACCTATGAAGGGACCAAGTGCAATTCNCTAAACACAAAATTGATCAGTAAATGTCATCGGTCAAATGAGTCAGAACAGTGTCAAGGCGAGCACCCATCTGTGTCAATTCGAAAACATACCAACTACTGATGTCCATCCGAAAATGGACATTGGGATCGATCTGCAGACACGGGCAATTAGCCTAAGTTGACTTTTACATTCATGAATCCATTACCTTTCTTTCTCTGTTCGGTAAAGATCTGATATAGAACCTCCTACTAGATTGATACTGACTGATGATGCGCCACCTCCGATAAATCGAGTAACGACCATGGTAGCAAAGTTTTGCGCAAAGGCTGATGGAAAGAGGAAGATGATGAAGATGATGTAGGATGCACTACAACATACAGATCAGTATGCCGCAGAGTGAATTGCTGTGAGCTTCCACATACAATTAACCAGGCATTCTACCCCTACAATGGCTGTCAGCTTCAGATCCAAACAAGAATGAGAGATGGGCCATACATACAGATTTTCAGTCAGAGGCACAAAGAGCAAGGGGAACAGTGCAGCTCCCATGTTCCAGCTTACAGTCGACCAAGCAAGGTTTGGGAATGGTTCGTTCTGGACGTGCCATAAGGAGCCCATCTGATCATTAGCAGCACCATAACTGCCAGCCGGTAGACCTGTCAAGATCGAACTGTAATAACTCAGCAAGTGAATACCCGTTGAGCTGAACCGGTCCATACATAAAACAGGTAGTCAAAGTCATAACCCATTTGCGTGACGTGGACCAATTGAATCTATGATAGAAACTCAGTGTCAAGTGCCTTTCCGTGAAATCTAGTTTAGGCCGCTTACGGGTTTGCTGGATCGTCTCGACCATTCCAGTCAACGACTTCAATATCGCCATGTTCGTTCGATGGATGGTTGTTTTGCTTTCCACCATCTGAAGTTCTTCCGGAGGATGGTCTGTCCTTGCCAAAGTCTTTCTCGTCCTTATTGCTGGATAGCGAAGTAGACTCTCTATTGGTAGACATGATCTGAAGTCGATATTAGTGAAAGATAGAGAGTAATTCTGAAGACCCAGACAACACCTGGGTGTTGATGAGGTATGATGCAAGATAAAACGTTCATCAATGGCAGTGTGACATCAGTCCGCAACTTAATTTTTGACTGCGTGCAGATTACAAAGATGCTGCTTTGCAAGGAAGAAGGGCCGATTTAGCTCCAGAGAGCGGGTTCTGACACATGATCTCGGCTCTGACAAGCCTATGTTTGTGTACATGTACAATCACTAAATATGGTCGCCCTCATAGCCAGCGAGTCGTCAAAGGGTTCGATTTTAGTCTGACGCGGTGGAGTAGCGTGTTAACTGTTAAGAGATGTGGAGTGAGTAAGGTTAAACTTCAGGAGCCTCATGTGCAGTCATTAAGCTTTCCGGTCAAACTTGCTGGTCTGTCTAATTGGCTAGTCTAGACATGAGAGCGCTCAACGAGAAGCTGTAAAGATTATACCAGCTGACAATGTAAACATTTGGTCCTTTGCAAACTTTGTGTGAGGAACTCTCTCGATGGAGTTTCCGCCAGTCTATAATGCAGTCTGACTGCATCCTTTTTGCAAGCCTGACGACCACGTCATGCTATTGGTTTCGGGCAGAGTGGGCGGAAATCTGGTCGCATGAGTACATGTAGTGCCTAAAATCATCGACCTACACCTAGGCAATAGCTGTTTACAGTAGCTAATGATGTCAGGTTGATGAGATTACGAGGTTGTGAGGTAGATCATCACACACGAGACCCAAGATTTCAAACTCTTATATAGGCTGCAAACATTAGTGACTATGGTCAGAATGCCAAAAAGAAGGGAGTACTTACTGGCATCAATCTTCGAGACCTGAGGCAGAGCTAAGCGGACCTTGTTGCGATACAGGACGGGGTTCGATTTTTGTAAAGGATTGCCTTCAAAGTAGACTTCCGAGAGCTCCTTCTTGTCACTAAGCTCTTTTTCGAGCTCATCGAAACGTTCCAGCTTGCAGCTTGTTGCCCAGATGTTTTCGATATGGACCAGTGCTGATACACCACGTAGCGAAGTGATGGGATTGTTTTGAACGTCTAGAATCCGAATGTCTGGAGCATACAAGAGAGGCTCGAGAGAAGTCAAGAGATTATCGGAGATGTACAGCTCTTCGAGTTGAGGTAGCTCCTTAAGCCCTTCCAATGATGTGATTCTGTTTGCTTGGATGGACAGTGTCTTTAGTTTTGTGAGGGTAACAAGTCCCTTGTAATTGTTAGCATGTATACTTGGTGCATGTTCTGTCGTGGCGCACCTTGAGCTCAGTAATCTTGTTTTGACCGAGCCATAACGAGTCAAGGTTGACCAGAGCTTCTAGGCCCGAGATTTCCTAACTGAGGATAAGTATGTGTGTCACCTTTGAGAGAAATGTGGGACAGATGATACTCTGATTCTGTTGGCACCCAACTCCAAGTATGTAAGGTTTGTTAGACCATCCAAGCCCTCGATGCGCGAAATCTTGTTCTGGACAAAGTAGAGGTGGTCGAGCTTCTTCAAGTGATTGACACGTTTGATGTGTTTGATCTTGTTGTAGCTTAGGTCCAAGCTACGCAGCTCTGTAAAGGAGTCGAGACCTTTGATGTGCGAGATGAGGTTGTCGTACAGCTCGAGGTCTCGGAGAGTAGTGGAGAGGGATTCGGGGAGTTCGATGGAGGAAATGGAGTTTTGGCGCAAACACAGTTTNNCTGAGAGTTGGGGTCAGTCTTTGCTGCGTGTGCAGGTGGAAGGCACGTGTAGACTGACGATGACTTTGCTAAAGCGTTCGAGGCGGAGGGCAGAGATGGAAGACACGCGGCTGTGCTGAACATCTATCTCNNCTATAGCTTGTCAGCACAAAGAGCTGAATGGCAAGTGAGCGAAAAGAGCAACTTCGGTCTCAGGGTCCTCGTCTTCGAGCAAGTCNNTGACGGGAAGCCGTCAGTATATGAGGCAAAGCATTGTTGTAAATAGTCGAGTACCTTCGTCTGCTTCAATCTGATCGACCGGGGNGGCATCTTCGTCAGAGTACTCGGGATCCGACAGGGCTTCCGGGTTTGCCAGTATGGCCTTTTTGTTCTTGTCCAGGCGTAGCTTGCCGTCCCACCCCGACTTGTTGCTGTGCAAGCCGTTGCTCTTAGCAGCAGCAGCAGCAGCAGCTTCTCCGGATCCAGATGCGACCACTTGGTCGGCGGTAGTCGCGTCAGTAGGCGTCGACATGGCTGTTTAATAGTTTCCTGTCAGAAAGAAGAGAGTCGACAAGTTCAAGGGTCGCAAACCGGGCGTCATTGTGTGGGGAGTCTTTCACGAGCCTGCAAACATGGCACGCGTCACACCATCACATGCCACTGTATCTCTATCACGCCCAGCTGAATCGTTCATCACAACAAGATTAATAAGTATACATTGAATTCTAAGAGTAGCAGGTCCCATGCCTTACAAGAACGCCGCGCTTTATCAATTCGTAATCCATCCTACACCCCGCTTCTACCATTTCAACTCCTCAACTCGCTAAAGATGTATGGGAATAGCACAACGCAAGCCTTGTACAATACTCCAATACTCGCAACTGCGCGGAACGGCATCAGTAGAGCATTGCCAGACGTAATGTACACCCAAATGGAGAGGAAGGCGACGGCGAAGAAATGGTAAAAGAGGACCATGGGTTGCCGTATGATTCCAGCCAGCAGTCCGACAGGTCCATCGATACACTGTCCACCTCTCTGGAAGTAACGGAAGCATCCTTGCTGCAGTGCTCTGAGTTGAGGATCTATTGTGTGTTAATTGTCTTGATCCCCGTAGCGACTTGACGAGCCCAACTTACCATTCGCTGCGAACAAAGAGTATAGCGCTTGTGCAAGAATGTTGATGACACTAGTCAAGTTCTTTCTCCTCCAGTGAAATACGTCCAGTTGAGCCAACACAGCCTTGGTGTCCTCGAACCGTGGCACTTGTTTGGGAGAAAGTAGTTTAGACAACAGCAGAGCATCGTTGAAGGCCACAGTCATGCCACCTCCTGTCAGAGGATGACGCATGTTCATCGCATCTCCAAGCAGTATCACGCCTGAATGCTTGTTTTTGGATGCAGGCAAGAATGAGTTGGGCATGGATCGTAATGCACCACGATCCAGAGCGGCTTCAAATGACGGACGCACCTTTGCAGGCAACGAAGGCAGCACAACATTGCGCAAATGGTTCTTGACGCCGCCGTTGCTAACCGATGCAGACGGGAGGCCCTCGGGTATGTCTACAAGAGCACGTGTCTCGTGTGTACCAATCTGGTAAAGAAGAACGGGTGGGCTGTCACTAATCAAGACGTGACCATGGTTGGGCATGGGTAGGTCGGCATCGATCAATTCGAGGCCCCAAAACTTGGACTTGACCACGGGAGCTCGAGTGTTGACTTCTTTGCGAAACTTGCTGGCGTAACCATCGGCGACGACGGTAAGATGGGCAAAATAGTAATCCTTGCGGTTGCTAGTGGAGCATTCAACTCCCAAGACCTGTCCGGTGTATCCGCTGCGCACCAAGTCTGTGGCCGTGGTTTCGATGACAGTGACGTTGGCGCATTTCAGAGCACGCTCTCGGAGTTTTTGAATGAATCGGCCATGATGAAACGACCGACCTTCAGGTCTTGACTTCTTCTTCTCTTTCTCGTCTGGGTTGGTAGCGGTAGAACCGGCATTTTCGGGATACGCAATGGTGACTTCGTCGCCGTGGTATATCACATCGTACCCAAACACCTTGATCGCGTCAATGCCCTCCAGACAATCGGCTAGTCCAAGCTCTTCCAAAGCAGCGACTCCACCAGGCTGCAGTAATTCTCCAACGATACGGTCGGGTTGTTTGAGGGATTTTTCGAGCAGAATGACGCTCCGGCCCTGGTCGGAAAAGGCGACGGCGAGTGCGCATCCTAGAATGCCAGCACCAATGATGACCACATCTGCTTCATGGTGCACTCGGCGGCGCGACTCCAAAGTGTCGGATACAGTAAGAGGCGGCGGGGGCGAATCGAGGATGAGTGGCATAATGTAGGACGACGGGTTCTCAGGCAAAAGTCGAGGACAATGGCATACCAGGCTGGATTTAGCAATGCGACAAGAGGTCAACAAGAGATGCAGAAAGGAGCGATTGTCATACGATTTGAGTTGACCACTACTACTGGTAAATTTGACAGGGTCTGCAACCGCCTCATACGTATCGAAAAAGTCACCCCACCGTCTGGACCATCAGGCCATTGTGACTGCCCTCATAAAAAAACACCTCTGGGACCAAAGCGACCATGTACTATGTCGCGCTTACAAGAAGCACAATCTCCACGCAGGCTTATATGCTTATAGACTGGATATATATCATCATCTTGATGCGACTAAATTGGAGTGGCGGGGACGCCGCCCCTATTGGCAAATGTCGGGAGACGGGCGGGAATCGAATGATAAAATGTGCTAACATGCTGATTTCTCTATCGGAACATTTGTTGGGTCTTTCAGTTTTCAGTAGGACAAGAATCCACAGAGAAAAAAACATCTTTACAATACATGAAAGCGAGAACAGATTGGGTAGGGTCCATGCTCCTTTGTTCTCACTCACTCTTTCGACCCTTAAAAAAAGAGACCAGGAGACAAGGAGACAAGGAGCAAGCCACAGCTACCAGAGTCACTCAGACCTCGTCTGTGCAACCGAGCGGTCAGGAGCGGCGTCAAGCATGCATGTCTATTCGCATTCGAAATCGCCTGCATACTTGAAGCCGTCAAGATGAATGCACCAGGTCTAAGTGTTGAAAGGCCGAAAAGGGCATGTTTCTCTGTTATTAGTAACACTCTCAAGCCTCGTCACCATCGTGATGCCATCAAACTGGTGACGTCGACATCGTCTCCCTCGATCTTGAAACTCATGAATAGCTTTGTTGCTGCGCTGTCCTGCTCGCAACCAATTATTTTCAATCTAGAGACAGACATGGCACCTAATCTTAGCAACTGCAGAGTTCTCAAACAAGAGCCGCTTGCTTCTTCGGATGCCAAATGGACTGCATTGAAAAAGTACGTTTTGACAACACAATCTGCTTGTACTCGGGCACTAACCACATCCAAGNNGATTACCTATAACAATGCGGAAAATGTCACCAAAATCTGGTAGGACCATTACAGCAGCCGTGTGTTTTGTCAAACAAAGAACTCAAGAGAATCAGGNGAATCTGCCGTCAGGCCGACTCGACCATCCAATAGCTTGATCGATGCAGTAGGCATTGTTGCCATTCTGGAGAAAGCCAGCGGTCCAGAGTTACTTTTACAAAAACAATATCGGCCACCCATCGACAAAGTTTGCATAGAGGTTCCTGCTGGTTTGGTGGACGAGGGTGAAGATGCCGAGACTTGTGCGCTAAGAGAGCTCAAAGAAGAGACTGGGTATGTGGGAGAAGTGATCAAGGGCGCTCTGGGAGTGACCCCCATGATGTTCAACGGTATGTACGGATTTGAGGGATGATAATATTACCGCGACTAATCATACAAATGTNNAGACCCAGGATTCTGTAATACTAACCTAAACATGGTCCACGTTCGTCTAGACATGTCGAATCCCGACAATCAAAACCCACGACCGGAGCTTGATGAGAACGAGTTCATTGAATGCTTCTCAATCCCCTTAAAGACACTATATGCAGAGTGCAAGACGCTCGAGGCTGAGGGATATGCTATAGACGCCAGAGTACTCACACTGGCTGAAGGCATTGAAGTAGCTCGACAATTCAAAATTGTCTAATCCGTAGTGGATGGAATAATTAACCATGTCTTTTCACAATCGTACATTGCTGTGGTAAAGAGAGAAAGCTCGGATAGAATGCGATTTCCTTGTCGAGTCCCAATTCCAGACCATCCTCCAAGTTGTCAAGCGCGGCGCGCGGAAGCAGGAATGGGCTTCCTGTACCCGGATTTATTGATGTGTCTCTCATCTGTATGCAAGCGACGATCCTCAACAACCGTGCCGCGTTTGCGTGCTTTCATTCCGTTCCTGAATATGGAGACAAGGATAGTCCTTTTCTGATGACATCCTTCCTTCTCATGTGCTCAAATGTGCAACAGTTATGGGTATCAAGATACATGATGGTCTCTAGGAACAATGTGGTGTTCATCTAGAGGTGTGGGCTCTCTCTCTGATTACATCTCTTATCTTTTTATCATCCAAAAAGTGGCCTTCTTAATTATTGTGGGGAAATGGGAGGTTACAGGCGAGCACAACTGGAGCTGGGCTGTCAAGGAGGAAAACGAGGGTCTAGGCATGGGTTCAACGCAACGGCGGTGCAGACGACTCGGGAAGGCCCGCTGTCGCCAACGTTTTGACGGGCGAGCGACTTTTGAAGCACGTTTCGCCGAGAAAGACTTGATAAGAACAAGCTAGGATCACTCTTTATGCACCATCTGCGCGAATCACGAAAAACTGTGGTCGGGGATGCAGGAGTTCTCTGCGGTGTGATTGGATGACTTGGCCGTCATTCTTGCTATCACACTACCGATCGTTTGGAGAGGGGGATGACTCGACACAGCACAAGTATATTGGGGACATGGTACAACACGACCAGGACCGATGGTGACATTTTCCAGACCTTCATTCCCGGATGCGGAACGCCCATGAGCGAAGACGCCGTCCAAGAATAACAGGCGTCTTCACTATTGTTTTGAGAAGAAAGAAAAGAGTACATCATGCTTTTGGTATAGCAATCAAGCACGGACGCGAGCTGAACCACCTCGGCTCGACCAAAGGAGCTGCATACCTCTTTTCATTTGTTCCGGTACCTTGGTCAACTAATATGCATCCCCACTTCCAGTTTTGCGCCAAGGCAATGAAAACCTGGTCCGCTGGCCTCGAGCTCATCAGCATGAGAAAGGGATTTGGGTGGGTTTGACACCCCTTGTCTGGGAGCGCATCTATGCACGGGCAGACAGGGCTCGTATCACCACGTACCAGCAAAATGGAAGAGCGGACGAGGCGAGACTAGCAGCCGAATGGTCAAATGAGATGCACCACCTTGTCTGTGAAGATCTACTCGAGCGGCGTAGGAGCCAGCAGGGAAAAAAGCGGCGTGTCGCTTTTTCATAAAATACCCTCGCCAGAAGACCCTACAGTACAGGCGCCGGGCGCTACCCGAATCCACATAACGGGTCAATGCACTAAACCAAAGCAGCATGTACGTGCAGATGCTCTCTCGCATTAGTTGACTTGTGTGTGTGTGTGTGTGTTCCCACCGTCAGACATTAAAAGATAATGGGTCTGGCACGATTTCATCCACCGCTCTCTCCTCTTCCCCACCCTCTCTTTGGGATGCAAGGATCGCTTGCCTTTTTGCATCCATCTCTTGCAACCCACGCATTCGTTTCCATCTCTGCTTGTAAGGCAACTTCTTCTGGTCCGGAGCCGTAACCTGGCTTTGGGATCGTCTCGCAGCTGCTGTGCTCGATCGCCTCGCGCGCCCATTCACCCACGCCGATTGGGTAGCCGAGTCATAGGTGACAGGAGCATGCACAGTATATCAAATCCGTTTCGTTACACCTGTCCAAGAATTTTGTCTGTATCACGCTTTGCCGGACATCTCCAAAACCGCCCTGCTACTTTTTCATACTCCTTCGCATCAACATTACTGTCAAGACTCTTAAGTGGTATACTCCAAATGCTATTGTAGGATATCTTTTGCTGGGCCGACAAAAACTCTTCAACCATACGCATGTCCGAGTCGCGTCCTCCTTCGCCTGTCCATCCTCGCATTGTCAATACCTCTTTTAGAGAGATGGCGGCGGAGGCTCAGAGACCACATCAATTCTCTGTTCCGCAATTCCTCGGACACCCTGAGCGACAAAATTCTATTGGTTATCAATTCCCGCCAATATCTGGACAAGAACGGTCGAGTATATCGTTTCACCCACCATTTGCTACTCTGCCACCGCCTTCGTCACGTCCAGGGGCTTCGACAAATCCTCAAAACTATGTGCAGCGGTCTGTTCCGATAGCCAAGTTGTTGTCCGATGCCCCTCAGGATCCACCAATCCGCTCCAGACAGATATCGATACCTGGTCCTTTCTCTCACGGACTACCTTCGCCGCCGCCGCCGCCTGGAATATACCATCGGGCCGCAGTCAATCCACCGCAACATTTGCCGCTTCCAAACGTGCGAACATCGCCCGTCTTTCATATACCACAGTATCCGCCGCAAGTTGCAAGTCCGCACCACATCTCACATCATCCGCAACACAGTTCTCCTATTGCTTCAAACAGTCCATCATCAGCCTCTCTGGACTCGGGTACCTCGCCGCGGGAACGTCCGCCTGCCATTACCGAGAAGTTCAATCGTCTGCCATCCTTTTCTACGCCATCACCGAATCTGAGATATGAGCTCAACATGCGACAACAGCCCGTAGCTGCCAGAGCATGCGGATTTGGAGAACGTGACCGACGCGTTGTTGATCCTCCACCTATTCTCGAACTCAAAGTCATTGATGCCGAGACAGGAAAAGTCGACAGCGAGAACACTCCCTATGTATACACGACACTGCATTGTACCCTAATCAACTCCATGACATACAGAGACGAATCACAAATTGAGCCAGCACATCCAAACGCTCAGGCTACACAGCGTCTAATGGGAACCGCTGTGGCATCGCCATTTTCTGGGACAGACGAAACAGGAAAGAGAGGGACCTTCTTCGTCTTTCCTGATTTATCCTGCCGTAATCCAGGAAAATATCGATTTCAGTTTCGATTGTTAATTGTCGATCCATTGAACCTTTCTGTCGGAACGACCTCGCGTATACAAAGTTCAATCATCTCGGAACCATTCGAAGTCTTTACTGCAAAAGAGTTTCCTGGAATGCGAGCCAGCAGTGCCTTGCTCAAGGCACTGAGGAAACAGGGTCTAAATGTGGCTGTCAAGAAGGGTCGTGAAGCCACAAAGAAGGCGACCAGAAGACCCGGCCATGTTGACGAAGACGACAGTAGTGGGGAAGACGGAGAAAATGTCGTTGATGAGGATGATCAGGACAGCGACGACCCACGCTCTCAAGCGGCCACTGATAGCAAGGCTCGAAGAAAAAGAAAGAGAAGAGAGTGAATGAGATTACGAACTTGCGACACGCCCTCATAGATGTATGATTCCTTTTTCCAGTCTCATTATCGGTTGTTTATATGGGCATTTTGGCCGGCATGTCTAAGTGATTGCAGCCTTGAATCTTGCGCTTTCTCCCCTCGACCCTGAAGAATTGCTTATTAGCGAAGAAGGTCATCGGTTGCATGTAGGCTTTTTTTTGAGTATTTGGCTGATTCGACGAGATAGCATTTCGGTTGGTGGAAGACATGTGTTTATTGTTTTTTTCTTTTTTTTTCTTATTTTATATCCCATTTCCTATTCAATTTGCAGTATTCCGTAGCGACTTGTGCTTGAAGCCATGATATGCATTTACCCAGTCAAGGGTAGGTTTATGCGCCCTCCAAGCCTTCATACAATTTGACTTTCCAGCTCTTACTCGGGTTATTATATCTGTGAGTAAAGACGTGGCCGAGTCGTGCGAGAATTTTCAGATCGTCCGAGTCAAGCTCGATATGCTTGCTTTCCAAATTCTCTTTGATTCTGTCTGCATGTGCGCTCTTGGGTATGACGCTCGTGCCTCGACTCATGCCCCAAGCCAATGATATTCCGGCAGTCGTCGTGTTGTGTTTGTCTGCCAGCTTGATCATTGCTTTGTTCTTGAGCAATGGAGGAGGCAAGTGTTTGTCCTTTTCGTGATAGGTAGGATTGGTTCCTCCAAGAGGGGAGTAAGCGGTCACATAGATACCGCGCACCTTGTGATACTGAATCCAATCTTCTTGCTGAAGGTAGGGGTGTAACTCCATTTGGTGGGCGTATGGGACATGGGTCGTATGATTCAGCAAGGTATCCAGTTGGGCAGGTGAAAAGTTGGAGATCCCAATGCGTCTTGTTTTTCCCGACCGAACTAGTCGAACCATGGCTTCCCAAGTTTCAAGAAAAGAGATTTCGTTGCCTTTGCTCGTCTCAGCCACTGGCCAATGCATGTGATAAAGATCCAGATAGTCTAGGTTGAGATTGGATAGTGTCTTGTCAATGGCGGCTTCGACTAGAGCAGGATCGTGATGATCATTCCAGAGTTTGGAGGTCACCCAGACGTCTTCGCGAGACAGTCCAGCATTCTTCAATCCCCCAGAAATGCCTCTGCCCACAGCTCTNNCTATTTATTGTTATGACTTGGTCGATCAAGATGGGAGATGCATCGTTACCTCATTGCTATATGCGGCTGCACAATCAACGTGTCTGTAACCGGTCTGAATCGCATATGACACTGCCTCTGTAGCATTGTCTTTTAGATTCCATGTTCCGAAGCCTATAGTTGGGATCTGGAAAAGGGTTGACGGTCCAAGAGGCACTTGCTGTTTGGCGGCGGCAGCAACAACTGCAAAGGATGCTGTAAATGGCAAAAGTGAAAGCAAACGCATTGTGTCAATCTAGTGCAGAGGAGAGTGAGGTCTAAGCAAACCGAGTCTCAAGGCCAACACACTCTTATATCGATTTAATGATCCCTGCGATATCTGATGTCATGAATTGCTCATTAGGCAGGTGGTAGCTTTCCCCGCAGTTCGTGTGCCTGTCCATGCAAGATATAGAGATGCACGGTACTGTCCACAAGAAAGCGAAATCCAAGGAAAAGAAGTAGTCAAGAGGCATCTCTATGGTCACGTCTCTGTCAAGAAATCGACTATGCATTTTTATAGCATCTGATAGCACTATAAGTTGGTTGTGGAAGCGAGGCCATGACTGTCAAGTGCAGATGGAGAGATTGTGAAGTCGCGGCGGATGTGCTGCAGCCTGCATTGGTAGAAACACGCGGTACCTGATACGGCATCCATGCTTTTTGATGTTTCTGTGTCTAGACGTACTTCATGTCGAGTGGTTCCAATATTGCTAAATGTTGGTCGTAAAGACATATTTGGGGTGTCTGATCTTACTCCACATTGAGCTGTTGTAAACCCCACTCTGTTTGTTTGATTGGTTTGCTTTGGCAATTGCAGATCTTGATGTGTGCAAACAGCTCGAGGGACTGATAAATCATGGGAACTGAAATATGGAGCATCAAGAAGGGTGCAAGTGACTGTCAGGCTCAAGATCCGACGTGTCCAGTCTTGAAAGGCGAAGCAGTGAGAATATCTAGGCAGGCGCTTGGACCACAGAGCCCTTTTCGAGTCAAGAGTGCTTCCCCAGGAAAATGGCAGTCAGTGAACGCGTTTTTCTGGCGTTTCGCGAAAAAATTCCACCTTCTTTCCTTCCCGCTGGCTCAAGCTAGTGAGGCGACCCCAAGGTGTATATCTAAAGCAAACATGAAATACGTATTGGTATCTGGAGGTAAGAGCTACAACACAAGCATGGCGACTTGTTCCTGGACTAATGGCTTGTCCAGGTGTTATCAGCGGTGTCGGCAAGGGCATTATTGGTATGACCAGCGTTCACAAGAATGCACGCCGATACTGACATGATTGCGTCGTCAANGCCTCGTCGACCGGCCTGCTGCTCAAGACTATGGGACTGAAGATATGTTTGACCTACGTCTGCTGTTTCTTCTTGTGCTGACAAGAAGCACGTCTCTTCCATCAANNGATTGACCCCTATCTCAATGTCGATGCCGGTACCATGAACCCCAAGGAGTATGTCCTCTGTCCCCGTACTGCAATCGCGCAGTTCTGACATCTTCAAGGNCATGGCGAAGTCTTTGTTCTCGACGATGGCGGTGAAGTCGACCTCGATCTCGGCAACTACGAACGCTACCTCAACATCACCCTGACCCGCGAAAACAACATCACCACTGGCAAGATTTACCAGCACGTCATCGAAAAGGAGCGCAGAGGAGACTACCTGGGTCACACCGTCCAGGTCGTCCCTCACATTGTCGACGCCATCCAGGACTGGGTCGAGAGAGTGGCCAAGATTCCTGTCGACGACACAAATGAAGAGCCCGACGTCTGTATCATCGAATTGGGAGGCACAGTCGGCGACATTGAGAGCATGCCCTTTGTTGAGGCAATGACTCAGCTCCGCGCCCGTGCCGGAAGAGACAACTTCATGCAAATTCACGTCAGCTACGTGCCCATGGTACACGGCGAACAAAAGACAAAGCCCACTCAAATGGCCATCAAGGCTGTGCGCAGTGCCGGTCTGATTCCCGACCTGATTGCCTGCCGTTGCGAACACCCCCTTGACGCTGGCGCTCACCAAAAGATTGCACGCTTTTGTCAGGTCCCTCTTCCCCAAGTTCTCGTTGTCCGCGACATGCCCACCACATATCAAGTCCCCATTCTCCTTCAAGAACAAGGTCTCTTGCAGAGCTTGAAGGACATTCTTCGCATCGATGCATTGACCATTTCTTCCGCTCTCGCAACCAAGGGTGCCGAAATCTGGGCCACCTGGAATAGCCTGGCGAATGGTTTGGCAACCGTTACTGACGTCGTCGAGATTGCGCTGGTTGGAAAATACCTCGAGTGTCCCGACAGCTATCTGAGTGTTGTCAAGAGCGTGGAGCACGCCGCCATGAGATGCAAGAAGAAGCTCAAGATTGTCTGGGTCGACGCCGAGCATCTCGAGCCTCAGTGCGAGCGTGCGAGCCCCGCTGCNTACCACAAGGCCTGGCACGATGTCTGCACTGCTTCTGGTATCCTGGTCCCTGGTGGATTTGGCCAAAGAGGTACTGAAGGTATGATGAAGGCTGCCAAGTGGGCCCGTGAAAATGGCACNCCCTACCTCGGAATCTGCCTCGGCATGCAAATTGCTGTCATCGAGTTTGCAAGAAACGTCTGCGACATTCCCGTCCCCGTCTCTACCAGCCAGGAATTTGATGCTCGTGACGAGGACCGCATCATTGTCTCCATGCCCGAGCACCACCCTGGACAGCTCGGCGGAACCATGAGACTTGGTCTCAGACCTACTCTCTGGCAGCCAGACTCGGAATGGAGTCGTCTGCGTGCTCTCTACGCCTCCACCACTTCTGCCGATGGCCAATCCCAAATTCTGGAGCGTCATCGTCACAGATATGAAGTCAACCCCAACTACGTCTCCACTCTGGAGTCCAAGGGTCTCAACTTTATCGGTAAGGACGAGACTGGAGTTCGTCAAGAAATCATTGAGCTCAAGGATCACCCCTGGTTTGTTGGTGTCCAATACCACCCCGAGTACCTCTCTCGTGTCCTCCATCCCAGCAAACCCTACCTCGGCTTCATTGCTGCTAGTGCAGGCATGCTCGACACAATCACTGCCGAGATTGTCAAGGAGAAGACGGCAAACACGTCATTCTAGAGGTAGAAGAATCACGACTATGAATGGTTGGATGCATTGAAAAAAAAAACACAAGATGGGGGAATTTATACAATGCATTGTCACGGCGTTTTCCAGGCGTCCATGTACGCAAGAGGATGGGATAGAAGATTTCTTGCAGTAGAGAGAGACAAGGCCATACCACATTGATATTGGTTCTGCGATGGTGTTATCAGTAGTGACGAGAATAAAATCAATTCTTTCAAGTCTTGTCCAAATCGTGCAACAAGGTTCTACGCGGCCAATAACGAAATCACAATGTCCATCTCTATTCATTCCAACGAATGGTGTGTGAGGGTTGCTGTTTTCAAACATTCATTACGGTCAATATCCTACAGGGTAAACAACAGTATTAACCTTCCAAACGACTCTTGAGACTGGCAACCTCTTTTGTCAAACTCTCGATACGTTCGGCCTGTGCTGCCATGTCCTGAGCTTGTTGCACCAGCAGACCTCTAATTTCGGACAGGGCGCCCTTGATGCCCTCAGCCGCTCCCTTCGCTGCGCCTGCAGCTGTGGTAGGGGGCTCGACACTGGCAGGTGTAGGCTTGGGGGTTTCGGCAACTGGCGACTTGATATCATTGGNTCTTGGTCTCAGCGACGGGCTCAGGAGCCGGGGCAGATGTGGTGGTGGTCGTGGNNGAGTGTGGACTTGTGGGGGTGTGCGAACACCAGTCTTCTCCTCTTGCTTGGTGGCAATGTTTGAGATGGGACGTTGTACAGGCTTGGGTACTTCATCAAACTCATCATTGGCATTGCCCCTCGATTGAGTCACTTCATCCCTGTCGGCGAATCTGTCAGCCATGGCAGACATGCTGGCTTGGTTCTCCTGCATGGAACCTCTATTGACAGGAGCCGGTGTGGGTTCAGGCTTTGCGGGCGAGGCAGGAACAGGTGTTGGAGCAGAAGAGGACGACATTGAACCGGGAGCAGGAGTGCTCTTTACCTGAGCGGTAGAAGGGGCCTTTTCAGCAGGAATTTCGACCGGAGTCTCACCCTCGTACAGACTCTCGAGCGAAATCTTTGGTGGGAGGGCAGCTTCCTTGCCCGAGAACCAATCCTCGCTAGACATGGAAGGCTTGCTACCAGTGGCGGGAGGGTAAATGTCGTTTTGGAAGACCTCTGCACGGCGAGGAACAATGAATGAGATGGGCTCGATCAAGTTCTCATTGACAGTCTTGTAGGCACGCATGACCTCGTTCTGGTGCAAGTTGACGCCACGCTTGGGCACAAAGGCGACACCACGTTGAGGGTCGGCCGACTTGTACTCGGAGAGATACTCGAACTTGTCGTTCTCGTACTCGTAGTAGCGAATGTTTCCGTCACCCTTGCCAGCAAGGTAGAGCATCTGAGTGCCATCGTCCCAGAAGGGCATGCAGACACCACTGATGGAGTCGAGGATGGAGAAGCCACCAATGGGCTCTTTGGGGTTGCGCACATCCCACAGACCAAGTTGACGGTCGCTCATGCGCGAAAAGCCGGTCGTGGCCACACGGTCATGTTCGCCCAACCATACTGCTCTACTGTTCTTTGCGCCAGGGTGTCCCTGAACCTCGTGTGCCGGTCTTTCTTGTCTTACATCCCAGAAACGAATCTTCTTGTCGCGGCAAGTGGTTACAAGCATGCCGCCGTCGGCGGACCATGACAAGGACTGTACAATGTCATTGTGCTTGAGAGTAAGGCGAGGGTTGTTTGAAGCGAGATCCCACAACTTGACGGTGCAATCGCCAGAGGAACTGGCCAGAACGTTTGCGGCCGATGGATTGAACAAGACGTGGCCGACTTTNNGCTGTTGTGGATTAGTGTGGACCAGCTAGAGGTGTGTGTGCATGGGAGCATACCGGGTATGGCCAGACAGCTTGTGCACGGGGCTGACATCGGTGGGCTCGTCGGCGTCGGTGTGCAGAGTAAAGTCTTGGGGGACCTGCCAAACAAAGACNNCTGCGAGCAAAAGGGCGTCAGTGGTGCATTGACAAGACAGCAAGGCTTGACCAAGTACCTTTCCGTCATCGGAACCAGAAGCTATGATCGAGTCGTCAAAGGGGTTCCTGTCGAGACGCGTCAGGAAGCTGTGGAACTAGCTGTGGGACTAAGTTTGGAAAGCGCACCAGTCGGTGTCGAGGACGGCAGCCGTGTGGCCACGAAACAGGGGCATGACATCGGGCAGCTTTCCACGCTCGTCGACAGGAATGACAGCAAAGGCGCCGCCACCGCTGGCCTCCCAATTGACCGAAAGGTACTTGGGGTTGGCCTTGATCAGGTTCGTGTCCCAAGCATTCTTAGAGATGCGGAGGTTGTCGTAACATTGCTCCTGCTCGGAGAAGGGTCGTCAGAGCGGAGCGTGGTGGATGGCGAGGGGTGCGATGGGGGATACCTTCTTGGTCGACTGCCCGAAGACGTGTCCTGGTCGGCGTTAGCTAAACATGTCGTGTGCTTGGGATAGACGCGTCGGGCGCTTACGGTACTTTGACGCTCTGACGAAGCGGCCGGACATGGTGAATTGGACAGGCGTCTTTGCCAGCTACAGAACAATACAGAGCGAGGACGACGAGGCTTGCGACTGAGTCCGTGAAGGTCGAAGTGATACGCTACGGTATGCGCACGGTACCGCCGGCCGAGGCGCTTCGCTCTCTGGCCCGACGACGCTCCGCCCTCTCGTCATTTCCGCTAAGACCTTCCGTCCAAGCCACATTTTATCCAGCTTCCATGCTTGTTGCTTCTCTCCAGACTGCCGCGCTCCCCACCAAGCTTGCCCTTGAAATAGCACATTCTTGACCAGTAGATTGCAGACACTTTTCACTGGAGATCGTTGACCATATGTCCCAATGTACAGATCTCTCACCCGAGTAGCACTGCTTCAGCTTGAGCCGTCTATATCGCCCTATATCATCCTTGGCCCGTCAAAATTCAACATGGAGCATTTCGCAAGACTATGGTAACCACGTCCTGTTTGTTCTTGATTCTGTCTAGACTAGATTGTCATCGCTGCTCCTCTAGTCCCCTCGCCATGTCGGCCAGAAGTCATGAATAGTGACCCTCTTCGTAGCTGTCCATCCCATGCAGGCTCGTCGACGACAGGCTCATCCCGTGACTAGCACATGGAGCTAGCTCTTCTCGGCTCGGCATCGGGCTTCTCGCTGCATCGCTCGTCCTATGCTACCAAGTTTCTCTCTCCGTTCGAACATAGTTTCGATTTGCATTTGTCAATGTACCACCGACGTCTCTGCTGCACAACGATCCGCCTCAATCTACATGACACGTAGCTATATGGTAGCACCGTCCCATGGACAATGGGGCGAGACTCGTCTTGGAGACGTGAGCTTCTCGTTGTCTATCTTACGATTGAGCATCGGAGTTGTACGACACTTGGATGGCATTGCGGAAGGAGCTTGTGAACGTTTTCAATGTCATAATGTGGGTATCAAGATGTGAATTACTGAGGTGAGATATTCTAGACCTGACCATCAGACTAGATGAGGGCGGCGCCCTTGAACATTCCATCGCGAACCTCCTTGACAATGTCTCTGCGGTCTCCTTTGCCTACGAGAACAATACCGCGACCACGTCTACCCATGCGACCGACACGTCCAAGGCGATGGATGAAGTCGATACTGGTGTGGGGTACATCATATAGAATGACGTTGCGTACCATCAAGGTGTCGATACCACGGGAGCCGAGATCAGTCATGACAAGCACCTTTGTGTTGTTCAACTGTCTCTTGCCGGGCAGAGCACGAGGCGCTGATGGGATGGGTTGATTGGATTTTGAATCGACGGTTGCGCCAGTAAACTCGGCGAGAACCTGTGCCTGCTTGCGTTCGTCAGAGTCACGGCTGAGGGCCATGGCTTCGACACCTTTGCTCTGGAGGTATAGCGACAGCTCAGAGCACTTTTCACGCTCATTGACAAAGACGATGACTCTCTTGACAGCATCTTCACCTGCTTCACGGCCAAGGTTCCAGACGGTGTCTGCGCAAGCAAGGTCTCTGTTGCCCTTGTACGGGTCCTTTTCGACGTCTACGACGCTGAGCTGGACACGACGAGGAATGGCGTGCAGATTCGGAGTAGCAAGACGACGGATGTCCGGAAAACGCTTGCGAAGGTAGGAATCAAGACTTCGAGGAATGGTGGCGGAGCATAGTACTAGCTGCTTCAAGCTTGGAGTAGCACGATCGAGGATGCTGCCAGTGATGGGTGCAAAGGAGCGGTCAAGAAGTGAATCGGCCTCATCGATGACCAGATGGGTGACTCGTGAGAGCACGTTGGGGTCGTTCTCACTAATGCTCGCGAGGAGGTGTGGGGTTGAAACGAGGAGATCGACACCTGAAGGTGAGAAGAGACGATTGCGAATAACGGTACCAGTAAAGTTGGCAGAGATGAGAGCTGCACGGAACTTGGTTGTGTGGGACAAGGACTTGGCCAGGGCGCCGACTTGCTGCACTAGCTCTGCGGTAGGAACCAAGATGATGGCACGTGGGCGGCCGGTAGTGGGATGAGGCTCGTTTGATAGTGGTGGTGATTCGAGTTCAAACATGTTTTTTCGCGCAGCTGCCTCCTTTTCCACTTGAGCATCTTGCTCGGCCTGGGCGATTTCAGCGCGCTTCAGAGCATCAATGACAGGCAAGAGGTAGGCCAGAGTTTTGCCAGATCCAGTCTCTGCGGCCAGTAGGTACTGCTGCATGAGTTGGGTGTCTTTGAATTTCTTGCCATTGGTCCCGAGCAGAGCAGGTATAGCAAGACGTTGGATTGGGGTAGGGGAAGTATCGTCCAACCCATTCAATGCTTGAGCTGAGATGGATTGGTGGACGGTGGGTAACAGACCAAACTCGTTGAAAGTTTCGGTATCGGCTATGCTTTGCTTGACGGCAGAACGATGACTGTAGGATACTTGGCTGAGAGCGCGCTGCATCTTCAAGGCTTTGAACGAGTCCTTGTCCTTTTCATCCCTTGGCTTGTACTTTTCTGGAGCATTCCGCGTGGCTCTCTTTTGTTCGGCTGTTGATGGACGTTGACGAGGCGCATTGCGAAAGTCTGCATGTGTGACATTCATGCCACCAAAAGGGCTATTCGTACGTCTTCTCGGAGGTTTGGCATCTGGGAGGGCGACCTTGGGCGATAGATCCATTCGATTTGGTCGAGGTTTTTGCATAGTAGCCATGTGGCGCATGGAGCGCATAGCAAAGACTGGCCGCGCCATCGAGGCGGCAGCCTCGCAGAAGGGGCATAGAGACGGGCGCATCCTAGAGGAGAGCATGTGTGTGTGTATGTGTATGTCGGCGATACCAACAGTGATGGCGACAGTGACGAATGACGAATATGGCTGATGGACAAGCAGTCTGACAAAAATAGTTCAATTCCGGTTCGGTTTCGAGCGGCAGTTTCAGCGTATCGATTAGGTGTCTGGGTGCATTTGAATAGAGAACGTAGGATGCACGATGCTTGTGTCAAGTCTTGTGGATGTATTTACTATGCATATATCATGGGACCTGATTCAAACTCCAGTCGGACCAATAACAAAAGTCTAGCAGTCCATGGACCAGAGAGATATCAAGCCATCTGCTTGCATATTGGAGAAGAGTGAGTTAAACAATCAATCACATCGTGAGATCGTGCGACTTGCCAAACCACCACCGTAATATGGGCTTGGCGCGACTCGCTCGCCATTCTTTATGCACGCAGGTTGTTCTGTATCTAGTCTCCGTTGTCATATCAACTAAACTCTCGGGCGGGATCCAAGGAAAACAAGCGACTCCGCTGTTGCTGTTGCTGTTTTGTTGGTATATTGAGCTGGCCGCGCCAATCGCTCTGTTCGAAGCACCTTTGCTTCTTCTTGTTCTGTTGATTCGAGTTTCACTTTCTTGCCCTTGCAAAAGCGTCGTTACATCCATCGTTGGCCTTGTTCTTAGAGAGCAATTCATCGCCCTACTTGGTGGACAAGCGCACATTCCTCGTCAACAATGGCCACCGAAGAGGTAATACAGTCTGGATCGTCACCTCTCACATGCGCTGACGTTTGGCCTAGGTGCAGCCGCTCAAGATAGTCAAGTCTAACTCGACTGCTTCGTCGATTGGCTCGCCCACCAAGATGTCACGTCCACTATCAGAAATCGGCTCGACAGAGCGGAGGAGGAATTCACCCAGTTACAACCAGGCCACCAAGGTAAGTTGACCACTACACACAACTCCTCTACTCATCACCCTCTAACCGTCTGCGACANNGAAGATGGTCACCAGCAAGGATTCGTCGCCCTTTGATTCATCACCACTGCAGCAACAGCGCTCGCCGCGCATGTTCTGGGAGGACCGCGCTTCGCCCTCGCGCTTTGGTTCTGAAAACAGTCCCGAGCGTCCCGAGCGCTCTGCCTCTCCTACTGGAACCTCCTCACACCGTCGCTCATCCATTGAGAACCTCAANAAGGCGTCACGTGTAAAGAACAGCACCATGTATGCCCGCGAAACAAAGCACAATTACGATCCTTCAAGCTCTCCCGTCATTGAGCGTCCTCTGAGCAACCGCGGCTGGGGCGGCAACTTTCAAAACAACGTATTCACACGCTTCGACAGTCTCCGCAAGGAAAACAGCCCTCTCAAATCTCCCACCGAGGGAGATCTCACTCCNTCCAAAATTCCAGGTCCATCAACGGGCCCCTCTGCTGTTGCATCATCCAATCCCAATTCTCCCCACCGCGAGACACCTTCGCCAACCAAGTCTTCTCTCACATACAACAGCCGGTTTGCCGCGTCTTTCGAGTCTGATCAAAGTCACTGGCCAGAGGACCAAGATGATGCTAGAGTCGCTACTCCTCGTGCACAGCCACGTCATGCAAAAAGTGTCACATTCGAGACGGCACCTCCTGAGATCAACGAATACGAACAGCAAACACCAGAACCATCTTCCATCGCCTCGGGTTCACGAGAGGGCAGCTACGATTCCGATGACTATGAAGATAACAGCTTCGAACGTGACTCTTCTATCGACGAAGACAGTTTTGATGCCTCACTCGAGGACACGGACAAGACTCCAGTGGTTCTTCCCGAAGATTGGAGACATATGAGCCCTGATGTTGCTCGTAGCCATCTTGTCAATGACTATGACGACGTTTTTGATGATGATGATGATGATGATGATGATGAACACACAAAGAGACAAGCTTTGAATTCGACCAACGAGCAACTTCCATCCTCTAGTCGCTCCGAATCTGCCAATTCGGATGCCGAAGCAAGACCTCTGCCTCCACTTCCTGGAGTACCCTCTTTTAGGAGAGAGCGTGTAGACTCTGGCGGTCTTGCTGCTGCAGCAGAACGCGCAAGCAGTATTCAGCGTTCCCTGCCTTCTCCACCCCGTCCTGCTTCAGTCTCAAAGGATGAGATTCTTCGTATGAGGGAGGCCAACATGTCCATGGAAGACAGAATGAATCTCCTCAAATTGCAAACTTCTCTGGCTGACGTGCAAAAGTCACAAGACACAGAGGAACACGCTGAAGAAGACGTCAAGTCTACCCACGAAGATGCTGCCGCGACTTCAGAACAGTCAGATGTCGAAGACGATGATTTGGCCGGCTTTGATTTTGCACCAAGCATCTCGCGCGAATCCATCTTGCGTAATGTCAAGTCACAAAAGTATGACCAATTCGATGCCGACTTGCAAGAGGAATCCATGGTTTCATTCGCCGACAGAGACTACCGCGAACTCGCCAATCTCGATCCTGACGTTCCCATCCCCTCTCGCGAGACGTCAACGCAATTTGACGCCGGAATCGGTGCTGAAATCAAGGAAGAGGCTGAAAATAGCTACCTTGACCTCAGTGCTGTTCCGTCATTCCATACTGAACTCGATGAAACCAGAGCAGATGAATACGACAGACAGTCTGTTATTCACCATGCTGACTATGACGAAGGCTCCCAAGTTGAGGACGACGAAAGTCGCTACTCATCCCCCATGTCTGTTTTGGTCAATGAACAACCAGAAGAGCCTCACCACATGCCTTGTCAAGATGATCAGGAATCACCCCTGGAAGACGAAGCATTTGCGACTCCGCTTGGCAACCCACAATCCACAGATGAGTCGAGTAGTATGGGTCTNCCCCTAAGCTTCTTGGGTAACGATGACTTTGACTTTGGTCTAAAGGACTACATCACTCCTACACCACCGTCCTCATCCGGCACACTGGAGGAAAACAAAAAGTCTGTACTCGAACCGCCCGTGGTGTTGCAGCCTAGCTTCACCACAGAAGCCCAATATGGACGAGAGAGCTCAGTCGAGTCCGATCATACCATTGGACATGAATCATTCGGTTCTGTCATCCATGGCTCAATGATTGACATGTCTCCTCCTCCAGAAGAAACACCCATCATTCCTGAGCGCAAAGCCACCATCAAGACTCAGGGAAAGCTCAAGGCTCGACCCTCTGGAACACCTGCCGATCTAGAAGCTATGAGAGCTCAACGTCGTCATGTGAGCCAAGAAATACCTCCGATTCCTGACCAGTATCGCTCCGAGACGTCGGCTCAAGCAGATAAGGAGATCTCTTCTGACGAAGAAGAAGACGAAGAATCGCACAGCTCGGAGTCATTCTCTGAGCCAGAAAAGGCCGGTCAAGGATCCCAACAGCTCGCGACAAATGACGAGCACGGCATTGAAAGGTCCCTTGGGAGCCATGCAAGTCTTGANAAAAATGGTCAGCACGAAGATGAAGCTACATCAGACATTCTCCCCGAACAGCGTCGACAAAGCCGCAAGATGAAACTCGACCTTGACTTCAAGCTTGATTCTTTCGACGACGACGACGACGACATGGGTCTCGGAATGGATGCAGAGTTTGACCGTGTGATTGAGTCTCAAAAGGTATATTAATCGATGGACTCACAAACCTCTCGTGCACATGCTGACTACTATACANNGAAGGGTTATCTCATGCGTCAAAACACCAAGGTCATTGTCGCTAGCAACAGGAATTTCAGTGACGAGAGCCAACGTCCGCTCTCTCCCAATGGCCAGGCCAACCCCTCAACTACCGGCAAGAGCAAACGCACCCCACGCAAGTCGAGCGCTGGCGAGAAGTACTTGACGACTGAGCCTTGGAATGGCAAGACTAGACGTAAAAGTTCCAGGAGATCCTCTGGCAGGAAATCCAACATTGGCGGGCCGGCCCCTCCCTTGCCTGGTCATGAAAGCTCTCTCGGCAAGGTCGATGAATATCTCACTACTGATGAGACGAATGATGGTGAGGAGAGAGGACGACTTTTTGTAAAAGTTGTTGGTGTAAAGGAACTCGACCTGCCGCTGCCACGCAGTAAGTGCCTCTCTGATGCCTTCTTAAATCAAAACTAACATGATCACGCAGACGATCGTCTCTTCTTCCAACTTACCTTGGACAATGGCTTGCATTGCGTGACTACTGCTGATCTTCAGCTTGGAACAGCCGCCGCAATTGGCCAGGAGTTCGAGCTCGTTGTTCTTCAGGACCTCGAATTCCAACTGACTCTGACTACAAAGCTACCAGCCCCTGCACCCAAGCCCCAAATGTCGATTCCTGTTCCAGTATCTCCCACAAAGCCCATCAAGTCGTCAACATCAAGATTCTCTCGCCTCCTCACATCTCCCAAGAAGAGAGCGGAGCGTGAGAGAAAGGAGAGAGAAGAGGCTGCCGAAATTGAACGTCGTCAGCAAGAAGAGATGCAACGCAAGCGCGCCTCTGTCAAGCCCACATCTTGGGATATGCTGCGCGAAGTCGTTGATGCCAAATCTGGTTCATTCGCTCGCGCCTATGTATCTCTAAAGTCTCACGAGCCTCAGTGTTTCGGACGACAGCTCACCGTCGACGTGCCTTGCTTCAACGAGTGGGCAATCGAAAAGGATGCCGATGTTGTCAGCAGTGTGCGCAGCAAGCGCAACAATGGCAATCCTGGCTTTGGTAGCAGAGATGGTACCATCAGACGTCCACCTTACGCAGTGGGCAAGCTTGAGTTGCAGCTCATGTACATTCCAAAGCCCAAGGGTGCTGGTGACGAGCACATGCCCAAGAGCATGAGTTCAGCTGTCAGAGAAATGAAGGCGGCCGAACAAGTCAAAGAGTCCTCGTGGGAAGGTTGCTTGAGTCAGCAAGGCGGCGACTGTCCGTACTGGCGCCGTCGCTTCTTCCGTCTTCAGGGCACAAAGCTCACAGCTTATCACGAGCACACTCGTCAGCCTAGAGCGACTATCAATCTCTCAAAGGCTACAAGGGTGATTGACGATCAAAAATCACTTGTCGCGGATCCTACATCAGGCCACCCGACCAAGGGAAGACGTAAGTCTGCCTTTGCCGAAGAAGATGATGGCTACCAGTTCGTCGAGGAAGGTTTCAGAATGAGATTTGCCAATGGCGAAACCATCGACTTCTACGCAGACACCGCCGCAGACAAGGACGCCTGGATGAAGGCACTTGGCTCATGCATTGGCAAGCCTTCAACAAGCAGCACAGCCAAATGGACTGATGTGGTGTTGACCAAGGAACGATCAGATGGCAAAGCAATCAAGACACAACAGAACTCGGAAGATTCCAGTCGATCGGGGCCAGATGCTGGTGACACCAAAGCCGGGGCACCCAAGCTCAAGCGAACAATGTCACAACAAGATTCTGTGCGCGGTGAGACTCCACCCACCAGCAGTCCACGCCCTGGGCACCGTGACAGGCATCAGGTCAAGAGCATGATCTTCTAGAGAGCGTCAGACAGAACCGACCTCTTTCCTCTTTTCTTTCTTCCTTTCCTATCACCTTTCTTGTTCCCTTGTTCGCAATTCTCTTGTCTTTTGCTTCTCTTCTGTGGACAAAACCAGCATGGCATAGCCGTCGCCCTTTTTTTCTTCTCTTGTTTCTTTTTTTTCTCTTGCGTATCAGGGAGGGCTTTGGAGATTCGGAGTTTACGATTGTAATGAACACTATGCATGTGCTACTACTACAGACACTTTTCCAATTAAATTGTTTCTTCACTTTGATTCTTGGTGTTGTACTTGTCTGGAACCATTTCTGTCTCTCCGTGTTCATCATATCTCTGGTAAATTCAGTTCTGCCTCTCTTCTGACCAAACATCCCATGGGTTATGAATAACATATGGCTTGCTCTTCTATCAAGATAAACGCAAAATCGAGAAACCATAGATATAGATATACTAACAGGCGGGATGAGGATACAAACTTGTGCGCTTTAAGCAAGACCAGGATTGTCCCTCAGACAAGATTGTGGGCTATACGATATTCTCATTGACTCGAAACACGCACGATGAGTGTTGTACAGGAAGCAACCGAGTTGTCGATTAGGTATGCTCTACGAACTGAGCAGGTGGCTCTCGTCGATAACATTCCATCCCCTTGAAGCTCACAATTCCACGTCACATGTCAAGCCACGTACACCACCATTCACATTCTAATTTTTGGACCTTGGAAGATAACGAGACTCAGAACAAATCTTTGTTCATACACAGACAAGAAAAAATGGTAGATGCGTGACCCTGCTAAAGGAAGAATCAAGAAAGCCGCCTGGTCACGCGGGTATCTCAAAAGACATGGAAACTGGTATGACAAGAAAAACAAAAAAGAACGCCGTTAAAAAGCCCCATGCAAAATGCTTTTTCTGCTTACAAGAATAGACGCCATGCTGTAACGCCAAATGATGCGCAATCCAATTGACAGTGCTCAGAAACTAGAGTCGTGTTAGCAAAAGATCGGGATCCTCGGAAATGTAAGGACTTACCGTATCTCATAACTGCCCGCCCGTGTCATGTACCGCACCCACTTGACACTGCTATACTGACTCTTTTCAAAGACCTTGAGGTACCTGACCAACAGACCCGAGCTTGTAAACATGAGCAATGAGAAGTTCAGACTCAATGGCGGTCTACTCCATGCTTTTTGGTTGGTCATGGAGGTAAGTTGAGCTTCGGCGCTGAGCACGTATTCGGAACCACCAGTGAAGCGTGCAATCTTCCAAACGATGTTGTTGTGTTCGGGTTCGTATTTGGCCTTTCCTTGAGAGGTTCGTTCGGTAATGGAAGCAGTGTTGAGGGGAGTTGGGATGCGGATGACGACGTTTGTGGCAAAGAGCTTTGCGCCATAGTTTGCCTTGATGGCAATGCTGTACTCGACCTTTGTTTTTCCAATTTCATTGACAATGGCGTGAACCTTGAAGGGTAGGTTGATATTCTCGGTAGCACGGTATCGCATTAGCTCGAAGCTACCGTCGGGAGGAATAAAGGAGATGGTCCTGTCGGTGTCGAATTTGCCCAGACGCACGCACTGATGGAATTGACAATCTTCGAGGGTGACACTACCAGCTGCAGCCTTTGTAGCCTTTGTACCGGCCATGTTTCCAGAAGGTGAGGCCAGGGCCTCCTCGCCCAGGGTGAGTCGGTCGTTGAGGCCAAACTTGCATTCAGGGGTACCAGAGAGGTAAGCGCGCATTTCAATCTGGCCATTGACGTCGGCACGCAGGACGGTTCCGTTGGCAGACATGAGGAGGTTGACATCTTCGATAACGTCGACAAAGGCTTCATTCTTGCGGTACTTGATGTTGTCTCGTCGCCAGGACATGGCACCGGTGGCTTGCATGGTGATTTTGGACGAGTCCTCNNCTGCTGAAGTGTAAGCGATTGAAGTTACAGATGGCAAGCTAGACGGGCGTACGACGAGGCTTCTTTCGGACTTGACACCTTCGGTGGTGATGTACATCTTGAGAGTGTCGGTGTCGGTGTTTTGGGGGTAGCCAAAGTCGAGGATTTCTGGACAGGTGGTGAGCAGACTGCCAAAGTGATAAGAGAATACTAATGACGGACCATCGAGCAATTCATAGATCAGGACAAAGTTGTTCTTGACGGCCTCCTCGTCGAACTTGGCGAAGTAGGAGCGGCCCAGCTGGATCAAGCGGTACAGAAACTCAAAGACCAAGGCAGCATTGGCATTGCCCTTTGTGACGGCGACGATGAAGATGTTTTCGTGCTTGACATGGCTGAAGGTGGTGGAACCGAGAGTCAAGATGGGCGAGCGGACCAGAGGGTTGGAGATGACCTGGATACGAAAGACATCGGCGAGGCGCGGGCGACAGTCGTTGCGAAAGGCGCGAAAGATGAGGTTCTCGCCCTTTTGGTTGAAGACGAGGATGCCCGAAATCATGGCGACTTGGTTGGTATATGCTATGGAACAAGCTTAGGTACTGTATAAGGTGGTCGAGGGGTCTGGCGGCGCGGAGGTCGGGGAAAGGCTTGGCACGCTGCCGGACGCAACCAGGCACGTCAGTCGGCTACACAGCGAAACCACTTTCATCCACCCACTCTCTCGTAGCACCACCTCGTGCGCTCAGGCAACAGACGCGAATCTCAGTCTCTCCCAAGTCGCTTGACCCATCCGACCGTCCTCCAACCCACGCCTCCCACACAACCGCCAGCCGCCAACCGCCAACCGCCGCCTCGACGACTGCACGCCTCAGCCCACCATGAAGCCCGTCGTATCCGCCTTCAATGCCTGGACATGGTGCGCCTGCCCTCTACCTGCTTCCCTGGACGCCCACTAACATGGCGACAGTGTTGTCATCTCCATCTTCGCCATCGTCATTCTCTCCGTCATTGGTGCTCTCTTCAAGACAAACAACCACTCCATGATGGGCTCCGACGAAGACCCCACTGATGGCGCTGCTGTCGCTGCTTCAGTCTTTGGTGCTGTTGCCATCTACGGCGTATGTCCCTGCCTCGATCTTACAATCATCTCATCACTCGTACTAAGCTCACTCCAGGCTTTCCTCGTATTTTGCGCCGGCCAAGCATATTTGCACCAACGAGACAGATCAAGAGGCGCCATTGCCCTGTCGTGATCCCACTTCTGAAACAAACTTCAACCAAACTACAAACAACTTGGATAATCTGACCCTCGTTTTTCGACATCACGACCATCACCACCACCACTTTTGCTTGTTCCGGCGCGGCGTTAGTCCTTTTCCTTCGACGTCTGGCTTGTTATAGACTTTTTCCAATTGGGCGGCAATCGGGCGCATCACCCTTGTGTATATTTATCATCTATCTTTTGCAAATCTGCAGCTTTCGTCAAGTTCAATCTTGTCCCGTAAACGCCGCCGTCCATGTTGGTACTCGTCAAATGCATCATAACTCCACCAACCATCAGATCAGAAACCATCGTCACTCTCCTCATCATCCTTGGGCTTCAGCCACTTGCTCATGTACGGCCCATCGAGCCAATACCCGAGCTTGGCATAATAGCTGCGTACTCCTACACCAGAGATGATGCTGAGTTTCTCACTACCATGTTCATCACGCGCAATTCTCTCAGCCTCTTCCATCAACAGTGTACCGTAACCTTGATGTTGGAACTTTCTGGGATCGCGTCCGTGAACCGGCACCGCCGAGCCATAGACGTGTAGCTCACGAACCAGACTTGTTGGCTGCCCAGTGAGCTCTGGACGGAAAGTGTGCGTTGAGCTACACTTGCGTAGACGCAACAAACCGATCAGAATATCTTGCTTTGGGTCTTCATAAGCCAGGAACGTCTCCCATCCGCCATTTGCTGTGTAGTCACGGCGCACCAGTTCGACCTGCGAGGGTCGAATCTTGTTCTTGACTTCGTTGATACCAACCTCGCGTGTACGGACATCGCGACATGTCGTGCCAAAGTCCTTCATACGAGACAAGGCCAGCTCACGCAGGTTACCATTCTCGACACCTGATGTAACAAGAGGCATGGGAATATCACGCTGGACACGGTAGATACGAGTCCATGGCGGTACCAGGGCCAGGATGCGGGCAACCAGATCAATCAGTGCATTGGGCGTGTAGTTCTTGTAGCGGCCTGTTCTCCACAGTTCATACAATCCAGTTCCTCGAATGACCAGTGTCGGGTAGATTTTGAGACCATCGGTTCTGAATGCAGGGTTCTCAAAGTACTCTCTGAATTGATCCAGATCTCTCTCCATGCCAACATTGGGCAAATCAGGCATCATATGACTCACGACCTTGAAGCCTGCATCCTTGGCCAACTTGAAAGTCTCTGCGACTGCTGCAACAGTGTGGCCTCTGTTGGTGTCACGCGCGACATCCTCGTACAACGACTGGACTCCAATTTCTAGACGGGTACATCCATAACGCAGCATATCACTCAAGTGCTGATCCAAACAATAGTCAGGTCTCGTCTCAATCGTGATACCAACACACTTTGTGCTGCTCATCTCGCCAGCCAAGACGGCCTCGTCGACGTTGGTCGCTTGGAAGCCACTGAGGGCATTGTGTAGTTGAGAGATGAACTCTTCTCTGTAGCTGACGGGCAGCGACATGAAGGTGCCGCCCATGATGATGTATTCGACCTTGTCAACCGAGTGTCCCAGAGACTTGATCTGATCCACTCTTCCTCTTGCCTGTTCGAATGGATCGTATCTGGCGCGAATTGCACGCATCGAAGTAGGTTCGTATCCGGTGTAGGATTGAGTCGAGTACTCAAAGTCGGAATCGGGACCTCCAGGACAGTAGACGCAAATGTTTCCGGTGTAGGAAATGTGCGGACATCTGTGAGGCTTGCACATGACGGCAACAACGGCAATACCAGAAGCACTTCGGATGGGCTTTGCGATCAAGCGAGGCAAAATGTACTTCTTGTAGTGTTCGGGGACGGCATTGATGATGGCGGTAAGAGGCGGAGTGTTGCTGAGGAAGTGTTTCTTTGCGATGTTGTTGCGTAATGTGTTGAGATTGAGGTCCTTCTTGGGCTTCTTGCCGTCGAGTTGACTCTCCCAGTCGTCGACCAAGGCACTCGCTACATCTGAGCAGGCGCGCATGTACCTCTCATTCTCAGGAGCCAGCTTGACACCTTTGGGTACCTTGGAATGCTTGGGTTTGGTGTCATTTGCCGTCATGGTCATGATTGCCATGTTGGACTACTGGTATAGCTTCTGCAAGCCTGCAGTGGTGAGGTTTGTGATGCGGCGAGTACGTTTGTTGGAGAATTATGTGAATCGATACTGGGGTTTAGTTTCCTTGGCGTAATGGTATGAGCGAGGACGGGGCTGTGACAAGTGTCTGGGTGTGTGGTCGAGATGGATGATTGGTGGTCGACAAAAAGTTGTAGATTCAAAAGTTCAAAAGTTCCCCGCAAGTGGCAGCGGCGAGTCGTGCATGCAGAGAGGGCAGGTGCAGGCTCGACAGGCTTGGTGCTTGTGCTTGGATTGCACTTCCCTCGGCGGGTGATTGTCGGCGTACGGGCGTTTGAGGGTTGCTGCGGCTTTGCTCGCTCTTCGCAAACTCGGGAAACAGCTGGAGCAAGAAGTTATTATTGTTTCGACATCCACCTTCCCGTCCTCACCACCCACCACCGCCTCTCTTTCCCTCGACAATGCAGAGCTACATCAGAAAGCCCCTGGGCTCCGCTCTGCGCGTGGCCTCGCGCCCCTACAGCAGCTCCTCGTACCTGACCACCAACACCAACCTCCGTATCAACGACCAAACCAAGGTCATCTTCCAGGGCTTCACCGGCAAGCAGGGAACCTTCCACGCCCAGCAGGCCATTGAGTACGGCACCAAGGTCGTCGGTGGCACCAACCCCAAGAAGGCCGGCGAGACACACCTGGGCAAGCCCGTCTTCGCAACCGTCGCCGACGCTGTCAAGGAGACTGGCGCTACCGCTTCCGCCATCTTCGTCCCCCCTCCCGTCGCCGCCAAGGGTATCGAGGAGGCCATCGAGGCCGAGATCCCTCTTGTCGTCTGCATCACCGAGGGTATCCCCCAGCACGACATGGTCCGCATCACCGACATCCTCAAGACCCAGAGCAAGACCAGACTCGTCGGTCCCAACTGCCCCGGTATCATCGCTCCGGTATGATCAAACAAAGACCCACTCCTGGGCCACTACATCTCTGACCTCCCTACANNGGGCCAATGCAAGATTGGTATCATGCCTGGCTTCATCCACAAGCGCGGTCGCATTGGTATCGTCTCCCGTTCCGGTACCCTCACCTACGAGGCCGTCAACCAGACCACCCAGACCGGTCTCGGCCAGTCGCTCGTCGTCGGCATCGGTGGTGACCCCTTCTCTGGTACCAACTTCATCGACTGCCTCAAGGTCTTCCTCGAGGATGGCGAGACTGACGGTATCATCATGATTGGTGAGATTGGTGGTTCCGCCGAGGAGGATGCCGCAGACTTCCTCAAGCAGTACAACACTGCCAACAAGCCCGTTGTCTCCTTCATCGCTGGTATCTCTGCTCCTCCTGGCAGACGTATGGGTCACGCTGGTGAGTAGACCCGACATTTCCGATTTGACCTAGCATTTCTGACAATCCAAACAGGTGCCATTGTCAGCGGTGGCAAGGGTGGTGCCGACTCCAAGATCTCGGCCCTCGAGGCTGCTGGCGTCATTGTCGAGCGCAGCCCTGCTTCGCTCGGTAAGACCATGCACGCAGAGTTCGTCAAGCGCGACATGATCTAAATTCGTGCTTCCACTCTGTAATACCCACTTGATGTTTTAGTAGACCACCGGGACATGGTCTGGGGATTTTGAGGGAAAGAGAGAGAGAGAGAAAAGACCCATTGTGTATAAGCCGGCGCAACTCCAGTACCCCCTCTTAGAAACCCCTTTTTTGTTCTAGTTTTCTTATATTTTTCTCCGATTTTCATTGTCATGCGCGCATGGGTTCGGCAGGCTCTTTATCTGTTCGGGTAGTTTTTTCTGATCAAATCTACTTGCGACAGTTCGATTCGGCATTGAATTGAATGTTTGAGCGCAACGTGAAGATTCAGATGTGGTCTATCTATGTCTATTCTGAAACGAGATTTGCTAATCATGACGGCCATCATCAGACCTTTTTATAGAGCGAGACCCGTGTTCCACCATCGGTCTCCCTTGTGCCACCGTACGATACCTCCCCACCAGCACCAAAACCCATCGCCTTTTCCACCCAAGCCTAGCCCTCTGAGCGGACTGACAGGCAGCGGTTCGAATAGCCAAATACCACCACGCGCAAAGTCGTCGCATAACAGCGGCGCGGTGTAGTAGAACCACACATGTACATAGACAAAATTGGCCATACGTTGCAGCCACTTGGGCGATCGCTGCACCACACCAATACGACGCAAGAATGAAATGAGTGCAAGCTGAGCACTAATACCTCCAATCTGTGAGACAAAGAACAGGAAAGGACCGGAAAGCGGATATGTATGTCCAAGCTGCGTATAGCTGCCGCAAGCGTGCAACATTCCCGATAGCACGAATGCAACTGTTAGGCCCAAGAACTTTCCAGTGGCCGACTTTGGGTTGATCTTCAAGAGCTCCATTAATTTTGATGATGGGGCCTCAAAAGCATATCTGAAGGTTTGATGCCACCAGCCACCCCACCAACCCGCGAGTCCTTTGTCGAGTACGTTGCTGAACGAACCAAAGCTATCGGGATACATCCAGATCTCGCCTCGCACACCGATATAGCGAGGACCAATCATGCCGACGAAGAAGAGAGGACCAAGGGCAAAGATAGCCTGCAATGCTGTATAGATCGCGGTCAAGCTGAGTAACAGACGAGCGCTGCGCACAGTAACAGCAGAAGCCTGAAGAGATGCTGGAAAGTAGTTTGGCGTCGCCGAGACATTGCCATCCCAGAAATAAGCATCGTGGGAGATCAAGGTTTTGATTATGTCGAGAATTACAACGTCGCGACAGAAGATCCAAAGGTTGACTCTGAGTAGAGAGGACTTGTCATGGTAGCGGTGGACGCCAGTACGACTAACCAGGGTCTTCTTCTCGTCCTCTTCCGGTGGCGGCGCGCCCAAGTTGCCAGCGAGCTGTGCTTGCGCCCACAGTGGTGGTGAGGGCAGTCCAGAGATACGCCAGTTCCATCCCATGCCTCTGAAGTTGGAGAAGATATCTGCGACCCAGTCGAGACGCTCCACAAATGGAGCTGAAGGATAGCTCTGCCAGGCAAGCGTGCCGGTCCGTTGAGCTGGTGACTGTTTTGTGCCAACTTTGCTGGTACGATTATGCAAAGTCGAGCCACTCTGATAAGCACTTGCACTTCCACTTGCTTGGCCGTTCGACTCTGCAGTCTGTGGAGGCGCAGACGCAGAAATCATATCCAGACGTGATTCCTTCCTCTCGATTCTCGAAAAGTCCTGCTGCACATCTTTTACCACCAGCATCATAAAACACCACAATATCGACCAGGCAGAAATTAGACCAACACCAAACGCGCCGGCCGGGTTACGTGCTCGGAAGCTCTTGATGTTCCAAATCGCAAAGATGGTGATAAACGCCCACGCTGCAAAACGAGCTTTGCGTAGCCATGGCCGTGATCGATGGTCCAGAAGAAGGTAGAGAATGACTACTGTGGCGCCGAGAGTTCCAAAAGGATAGGTGAAAGGCTGATAGTCTCCAGATGCCAGCAGTTTCTCATATTGTCCATTGAGACGGTCTATTATGTCGTAGTGCGTGACCGGGACGAATGCTTCTTTGAGATACATGCCTTGACTCGGATCAGGATAAAAACACCTGATGATGTCTTCAAGGAAGGAATCTAGCACTAGCTCGAGAGCTGAACAAGTTTCCTCGCAGAAATCGAATCTATCGGTTGAAGGGTAGATTGGAGAGATGAGATGGATTGTTCAAGAAACGCATCGTCCACGACATCACATTCTATCAACGGCTCATCCAGTCTAACCTGTTACAGTATTTGGGAAACAACCTACTCTAGATCGCGCGTGTCACTGTTTTTGGCAGAGTCTCGATGACGTTTGAAGTCCTGGTGGGTCTGTGCTTGCGGCGCGGGACAGAGCCTCTCTCGCTGGTGGCTGGACTGCGGTGGAGAACGTCTGCCAAAGAATTCACGAGCTTGTGTGCAGTCTGTATCCGGGCAGCGACCAATATCACCTTGTGCATATCAACATCTTAGCATACTGTCCAAGGAGAGCAGAAGCTCCCATCAGCCGCAAACATGGTCAACATTACGGAAAAGATCAAGGAGTGCGTTTCCAGAGGAAGGAAAACAATTGCGATGGCATGAGACTAATTCTTTTTCTAGGATTGAGGCCGAAATGGCCAGGACGCAGAGTATGTGTGACTGCCTAGCAGGAATAAATCAGATGGCTAACATTCACTGCAGAAAACAAAGCAACAGGTGCGGCATGAACATCTACCCAAAGAAGGTCGAAATTTGGTACTAACATCCCAATCAGAATATCACTTGGGTCTTCTTAAAGGGTTAGTATAAGAATACTTTGAGAAAGAGAAAACTGCTGACTATTTCCAAGANAAGCTCGCTCGTCTGAGAGCACAACTTCTAGAACCTGGTCCAGGTGCCGGCGGCCCTGGCGGAGAAGGGTTTGATGTCACGAAGAGTGGTGATGCTCGTATTGCACTGGTCGGCTTCCCTTCGTAAGTTATATTCAGCCATCTTTTTGGGGTTGATCGCTGATGTTTCGCTTCAAGAGTCGGTAAATCAACGTTCATGGGAAAGATCACGAAAACAAAGTCCATAGTTGCAGCATATGCTTTCACCACACTCACCGCCATCCCTGGTGTGCTCGAGTATGGAGGTGCCGAAATCCAGATTCTCGATCTCCCGGGTATCATCGAAGGTGCTGCCGAAGGCAAGGGTCGCGGAAGACAGGTTATTAGTGCCGCNAAAGGTAATGTCCGCACCTTCGCTTCTGATTGATTTTCTTACTGACTTCTGTAGACCAGCGACTTGATCTTGATGGTCTTGGATGCGACGAAAAGAGCTGAGCAAAGGGCTCTCTTAGAAGCCGAGTTGGAGGCCGTCGGTATCAGATTGAACAAACAGCCCCCGTGAGTACCTACACCGTGTCAAATCTGCTTCAATATGCTGATAATGAACCAGNNGAATATCTACTTGAAGCCAAAGAAGGCTGGTGGCATGAAGATCACCTTCCAAACTCCTCCTAAGAACGGCCTCGACGAAAAGATGTTGTACAACATTCTCCGCGACTACAAGATCTTGAACTGCGAAGTGCTCGTCCGTGATGAGAATGGTATGTCTAAACATGTATCGATGCTTGAGTCTTCGCGCTAACATTGCTANGTCACTGTTGACGACTTTATCGACGTGATCATGAAGGACCACCGTACATACATCAACTGGCAAGTCTTCTGTTTTTCATGAGAGATGAGCTTTTACTGACGTCTACGANNCAGTCTTTACGTATACAACAAGGTCGATGCCATTGGTCTCGATCACATGGACATGCTAGCAAGAGAACCCAACACCGTCATCATGAGCTGTGAGCTCGACCTCGGCGTCAGAGATGTAGTAGATCGATGCTGGGAAGAACTCGGCTTGATCCGTATCTACACCAAGAGGTAGGTTCCACTATCTCACGCTTCTCTCTTCTTCTCGGTCAAAAGCTAACAACTGCAANNCAGAAAGGGCATCGATCCAGACTTTAGTGAGGCCCTGATTGTCCGTGGCAACTCGACAATCGAAGACGTTTGTGATGCTATCCATCGCAATCTCAAGGAGAGCTTCAAGTATGCATTGGTATGGGGTGCTTCTGCCAAACACATTCCTCAAAGGGTTGGTCTGGGACATGTTGTCTCTGACGATGATGTGGTGTCGATTGTCGGTACCAAGTCTGGTCTTGCAGCAAAGTAGTGGAGTTGAATAGTAAATGGGGACTGTCTGGGTCTACAGAGATTGGTATTTCGGCTTTGTAATTTGTGTCTTTTCTGTGTGCTGATCGCAAGTGATATCCTGCGTTAGTATTTCTATGCACTGTAGCATGCGGAAGGCGGGTGTATTCCAATTTGTATTTGTCAAAGACTACCTAAAGTAAGGTCATGTTCAACCCAAGAATACGTAAAGTGTACACGCCATGAGTTCAGTAGTGTGAGCCAGTCTCATGCCTTTTTTCGAATCAGTATTTAGTCCATCCGAAGTCTAGAACTTTCGAGGCCTACTCAATCACTGTTCGAAGTTGGCGAACCAAAGGCTGTTCACATCCGGGTCTAGTTCGGCCAACATCTCTGCAACTCCCATGATGCTGGATAATGAGAAGCCTTTGCGAGCAATCCACTGCTCACCGAAGAGCTTCCAACAGCTATGCCAGGTCATGGAGCGATCATCGACTGTCGCCAAGCAAGAAGCTTGTTCAGTCCGCTTCAAGATAAGAGACTTGAGTGCCGTGAGCATTGAAGGTGAACTGACGATGCGTGGAAAGATCGTGTGCAACTTCTCGCCCTAACGCACGCGATTCATGAGGTCTTGCACCTGCCGTTCGAAGTCGATTGGTGTGTAGGTACGATGCTGATTTGGATTCGAGTAAGCTGTTCGACGGACGATACCAAATCTCTGACCACGAATATCAAAGTCAACGTCGAGGATAATGGAGGCATTGAAATCTAGAAAGGAGAGAGAGCGCACGGAAGCAACATAACATGACTCAAGGTTATGAAGCCAACTGTTCGGGTTAGATAGTGCCTGTACTTCAGGCTTTGGTTGAGTGACAAACACGGTGAATCTGTTGCTGCCATAGTACAAAGCCAATGCTTCGTTTCTCAAGAGCCGACAGGTCCTGGCGATGGCAGGCTGCTGTTGGGGATGAACGATGGTAATAGAGCTGATACACACAAGACGAAGCACCATCTCGCGCACTTCTGCAGGGAGCCCAAGGAAGTCGAACTGGAAGTCCTGATCTGCACACTCCAGCTCGTGAATCAGGGATGTTCTTGAAAGCCTTTGAGCAGCCTTGAGCGACCTTTGTAGCATCCTCTGAGTAGCGTGACGAGACTTGTAGACGGCTCTTCTGGCCGCAAGTCCTCGGACAGGCATTGCGATCGTTCCGGGGATCTTAGAAGGCAGGCCTTGGCTGACGAGAGTAGAGATAGCAGGTCTCGCCGGGACAGCAAGCCTCGGCGATAGTCTCAACAAGACACCGGACTCGGTGAAGGGCGCATCTCTGCCGGAGTTGGATTGATGAATTCGAGATGCCGCTCTGTTTGCATCGAGGATCTGTGCAGTTTCGGCGCGCCTAGAGGTACATTTGTCCTGATGTTTCTGAGCGGGTTTGCCAAGCTTCAAATGTCTAGAATTGACGAAGTCGACTAGGTCTTGATGTTCAAAGCCTTCGTAGATGACAGGTTGTCTAGGGAACTTCTCAATCATAGTCAGGAGGACTTCCTTGTGGCGGATTCCAGTCACGATGCCAAAGATCCTACACTGCTGGCGTGATGGTCGAACATGGAGGTAAGTCATGGACGGACCGACTAGATCGAGAAGATTGATAGATGCATTGGCTATGTCCAAGTCCAGTATGGTGGGTAGAGGCAACATCTTGTCGGGAGGAATGGTGTTTGTGGTTTGGCAGAAGACATGAGGCTTGACACGGCGGCAAGATTGTATATCAAAAACAGGCCCAAGGACAAGACCAGTCAACAAACAACACCTACCTGATGTACTTTCATGCGGACAAGGATGTTACTGGCTGCAGCAGACAAAGCCGATAATATAGAGGGGTGAAACGCACGGCTGTATCTCGATCAGTGTTGGGCCGGGTTCGGAACAGACATTGGTACAAGGTCAGCGTTGACGGCATCATGTATTGAAGACGGTTCAGTCGATGTAACCTTGTCTGTGGTGCGATTGAGAGACGAAGATTCGAAGTGTGAGACAGAGGGTTGAGGTGTGAGAGGTAGAAAGAGTGCTTGGATGAGAAGGAGGATGATGATCAGGGTGACGCAGCTTCTCCACAGCGGTTTGACCGTCAAGCTTCACATGGACGCGGATGCGGGCAGGTGCTCCTCTTGATTGCATGCTGCTGCTGCTGCTTCTGTTTGTTTCTTTGCGACATTATTTTACTCTCAAGGAGACATATTAGGGAGAGGGGTCCAACATGGCCGAACTCACATCGACCAAACTCCACCCAGAACAGCATCTGCTGCTGGTATGCGTCACCGGTCCGCCATCAATGTAGTCGTCGATTGACACAGCCCACAGNGACCAACCATTGCTACGAGTGCCCTTCGAATTGACGCGGAAGAACTTTGCCCAAGCAAGACGACACATCGAGAAGACATCGGCCGACACGCTTGCTGCCCTCAACGCCGCCGCTACCGCCGCTCCATCAGCCACCCCCGACCAGACTCTCGCCTCGCTTGACGCCATGATAGCCAAAGCCCAGACTCTCAAACGCAAGCTGGAGGCCCTTCATGCCGAGGAGGACATGCTGCACCGCCATCAGCGAGCCCGCATCAACCATCTTCAAGATCTGCACGATATACCCAACCTGGCCGACGTCAAGTACGATGACTGGAGCAAGATCCGTCTAGATCGCATGTTGGTCGACTATCTGCTACGTCAGGGCTATATCCAAAGTGCCAGTCAGCTGGCCAAGGAGAAGAAGATTGAAGACCTGGTCGACGTCCAAGCCTTTGTCGAGTCTAGTCGCATAGAACACAGCCTGCAGAATGGACGCACCCAGGAATGCCTGGCCTGGTGCTCCGAGAACAAACAGACATTAAAGAAGATCAACAGCAACCTGGAGCTTGAACTACGCTTGCAGCAATTCATCGAGTTGGTCCGGAGCGGAGAGCCACAAAAGCTGATTGAAGCCACGCTACATGCGAGGAAGCATCTGGGCACACATCAAAACGACTCGTACGGTCTGCGAGCCGGAGGCTTGCTTGCAAATCCTCCAAACACCATGACAGAGCCTTACAAGGTATTTTGTCCCCATGATACTCCTCCCATACCATCTCTGACCTTGTCCAGNACCATGTACTCGGCCGCTCGCTGGCAACAACTCTCCGAACTCTTTGTCAAGACACACCACGAAATCTTGTCTTTACCACCACGTCCCCTCCTCCACATTGCCCTTTCTGCCGGTCTCAGCGCTCTAAAGACGCCAGCCTGTCACTCGCATTATGCCTCTTCATCATCGAACGCTTCTTCGTCAACCACATCCGTCTGCCCCATCTGCTCCACCGAGCTGAACGAGCTCGCCCGCACCGTTCCCTATGCACATCATAGCAAGAGCTACGTTGAAGACGATCCAGTCATGCTGCCCAACGGACGCATCTATGGTAGAGGCAGACTCATGGTTCTGAACGAAAAGATAGGAACCGCCGAGGGCAGAGTCAGAGATCCCACCGACCTATCTCAGGAGTTTGACGAATGCGACATCAAGAAGGTCTATATTTCTTGATTCTTTTCATTCTGTGTGGGCTCTCGGACCGCGTGCGTTTTCGCTTGATAGTGAACTTTCCATATTTCTGTCTCGTCTTTGGGTTAGCGAGGGGCTTTTTAGATACCAGAGGATTGGGTGCAGCATATTCGGGGACACCAATAGGCGTTTTTTCCTTTTCAACTTGATCACGAACGAAACCTATTTATGACTTCCTTTCCACTCTCTGCATGGAACCAAATATTCGAGAGTACGAGAGAAAGAGGAAGTGAAGAAATGAGTCGACATATTGTATCGTGATATAGAAAAATGCTGCGCTTGTAATCCTTTATATAGATCCGGACATGTATCCTTTTCTTTCACCCAAACGCCAACGCTAAACAGAGATCGAGGTATATGATGCGACAAACTCACTGGTGACGACTACTCTGCGCTTGCGCAGACTTGCCCAACCTCGCGGGACCCAACCCGAAGCGAATCTCATCAAGTTGCTCCATTCCAGTCTGGAAACCCGACTTCTTGATATGTCTGCCTCTGTTGCCAGCCCTAGAGTGACCAGCAAGGAAGCCATCCATGATGCTATCAAAGTCGGAACGCACAAGATTGGGAGCTTCAGAGTCTGTGGCGCGCGAGTAGGAGGAAATGGCAGAGGCGTGGGACATGCCAGTCATACCCGAAGCCATGGATTCGGCATCGTCGAATTGCGAGCCGTAGTCGTCGAAGTCGTCTTCGGCATAGGATTCTTCAATCTTGTCGAAGCGTTGGTCGAGGAGGGATTGTGCGGATGTGCGCACCAGAGCGGAGGAGGACATGGAGTATCCTGAGGTGGAAGTCATGGCGCCCTTGCGCTTCTTTCTGCGGCCAGATGCCAGTGAGGATAGGCCTGTGTTGACGGATTGGATGTCTGAAGGTGCTGGTTGCGCGGGCTGCTTGGGGAGGGCCTTTGCGGCCTTGACGTCTTGCTTGAACTTTGTGAATTCTTCCATCCAGGCTCCTGCAGNAGGGGTCGGAGGGCGGTGCAGCGGCGGTGTCGGTGGGTGGTGGTAGATGTGTTTCGTCCTTGTCGCCGGCTTTGATGGTGTCGTCGGATTGCCAGCCATCGTCCTCGTCGTCAATGTAGCCCTGGCCTTCCTCGTCGTCAAACTCCAGACCCTCCCAATCGTCGCGATCGAGCTCTTCGGCGTCGCCGGNNTCAGTTCTTCGAAGATGTCGTCTTGGTCGTCAACGTAGGCTTCGTCTTCCAGGGCCTCGAGGGCTTCACGCAGGCGAGGATCCATGTCGGGTTGGAAACCAGCAATGGCGTCGGGCACATTCTGCATATCCTGGTAGGTCGTCTTGCGCACAAAGTCGCTGGGCAGCATATCGTCGGGCATCAGACTCCTGGTAGAAGCGACGCTCTCTCCGCCATAACTCTGCAAGTCGTCGTCTTTGACGTCCATGCCGCGCAGGGCATCTTCCAAGCTCATCTTTCCCTTGTTCTTGTTCTTGGCTGAAGGAGCTTCCACCCAAGTGGCTGCACCGGCTCCAGAGCCCAGATCGCGCAGATGCTGCATGTAGTCGTACTGGGTGTCGTCAAAGTAGACACCGTGCTCGGCGGCCTCGCCCTCGTGGGGTTTGTAGTCGGTGCCAAACTCGTCTTCCAGGTCGCCGCGCTCCTTGATCTTGCGGCTGTTTTTGGCATACTGAGGGCCTCTGAGTTCGGCAAAGACCATGCTGGGGGCGTCGGCATCGTTGATGAGAGGGTCGTTCTGGGCACGGTGGACCAGAGCGAACTTGGTCGCATTCTTGCCGCTGTGCACAGGTCAGGAAGGGATCAACCATGTCAGCCCATGGGCGATACGTACAACTTGCGGGGAGGCATCTTGACTGCTTGTTGTGTTTGGTGTTTGAGGGGGAGACAAGAAAAGTTTCAAGATTCGTCAGATTCGACTTTCACCCCGATGGCGCGCCAAGAGGCCGCGGCTGACATGTGCCTGCCACTGTTTCGTCCTTCTTCATCTGCATGTCCTCGCGAGAGGAACAACCTCATCGCTCCGACATGTCGCAAGAGCCCGAGAATGACGTCCCCGCCGACGAGCTGCTGGTCCATGGCCGCGCAAAGAGAGCCACCGCCGGCAACCGCATGCACTTCCTCATGCAACATCTCGAAGACGAAGACGTGCGAAACGACCTGCTGCAAGAAGACGAGACGGACCAGATAGACTACCAACTCTCCGACACCGAAGACGTCGCCTTTGGCTCCAGCGACGACGAAGACGACGACCAAGAAAGAGACGAGGACCAAGGCGAGAAGGAGTTGCAAAAGCAGGAACGCCAGGACGCTCGCAAGAAGAAGCGCAAGGCCAACGACTTTGCCAACATGCCGCTCAACCCTCTGATGAAGCGCCAAAGACTTGCACACACCAATTCGCTGCTCGCGCCCCGTCCGCGCAANAAGTCCGAACGCATCTCCTGGCTACCCACCCTAGACGATGCCCCGACACGTCAATCACGCCGTCGCCAGACCGTCGCAAACAAGGAACAGACAGAGGCCAAGCTGAAGGAGAGTCAAAAGCGCTCGGAAAAGGCTCACGAGCTGATGAAGATTGCTGCCGAGAAGAAGGCCGCCTCTGCCGTGCCAGCTCTCACCCAAGAAGATCGCATGAAGAGAGCCTTAAAGGTAGAGAAAGAGAACAGCAGGACTCTCAATCGCTGGGAAAAGGCCGAGGAGGAACGTCAACTTGCTCAGCAGATGAGACTTGAAGCCTTGCGAGACCGACAACTCGAAGGTCCCGTCTTCAGGTACTGGAGTGGTTCTGTCATGTGGGAAGGGGAGAAGATCAAGGTCAAACGCGTGCACCAACCGAGGGTGGAAGCTTTGAAGGAAATTGCGCTTCCTCAACCTGCAACCGCTAGTACCGACAAGACAACAACTCTGGAAATCAAGCCCGCCCAGGAGTCAGAAACACAGCAGAACGAAGACACAACCATGGCAGATGCCACAGCTGANGCCGACGCCTGCTACATTACCAGATCAACAAGCAAAAGAGACTTCCAGCACAGAAAAGGACCAAGGCATATCACCAAAAGCTACAGTCGAAACAACCCAAACGGCGACACAAGATGTGGTGGAAAACGCTGAAGCAGATGCGCCGAAGCTTTCTGATGAAACAACGACNNTGAGCAAGAGCAATCTGAGCTAGATAAAGCTCAGCCATCCACCGCTCCTGCTTCTGACGAAAAGTCGCCATCGTTCTTGGACGGCATCCATTACTGGGCTTCCCAATCACCAGAAACCACTGCGCAAAAGATCAAGACATCAGCCCTGCAAACTCCCACACCGGTACCAGCTCCTGAAGGCCAAGTCATCAAGACAACACCCGCCGAAACACAATCTATACAACCAAATATGGCTGACCAGCCTCCTCCAACCGCAATCGTCGACTCGACCAATCTACCTACCACTCAAGACTCCACCCTACAACCCACAGAGCCCACTCAGCAGTCCTCAACACCCTTCGACGTATACCCTCAACTCCAGCCAGAGACAGCGCCAGCCGCACCTCCACCATCCATCCCCTTGATCCGCGAACAAGCTCAACGCTCCCTCATAATCCTCGAAGCCTTTCCCTCTCTCGAAGTCGCACCACCTGTNTGCTACCTCAAACAAAAAATCCACCACAACAAATTCCCTGCTTTCTTCTATCCTCCTACCTTCCGCTCAACCCACCCTCACCGCCGCAGAGTCCAAATACCTCACCTCCAAATCCGCAAAAAGAAAGAGTTTCTGCCTCCCCCACCGCCAAAACCTGTATGCAGTATCACGGCAAAAGCGGCAAAGTACAAGGATCCAGCAACGGGATTGGCCTATCAAGGCTTGGAAGCCTATAAAGCTATTCAAAGGGTTAGTGCGGGAGGTTGTAGATGGGGAGGCGCTGGATGGGATGCTTGGATGGGGATTTTGGGAGAAGGTGTTATGGGGAGGGTTGCTAGGGGTGTACCTGAGTGTTTTGTCACGGGCGTGGTGAAGAGGAAGGAGAAGGAGAAGGAAGTCAAGAGTGAGGAAGGTGGGAAGGAGAGTGTGGTTGTGCCTGTTGCCGCGACAGCTGCTCCTGTTGCTCCCATGGCCTCAGTCACACCTGCGCCTGCTGTGAACGCACCAGTCAATGCCCCTTCATCGAAGACTTCCTAGAATCAGAGCATAGAATAGCATAGCATACAACACGATACCCCAAAATAACGATCTCAATGACTTTCAACTCCTCTGCTTTCTCCAAACATCTTGAATTCATCGATCGACCCTGTCATCAAAAGACCCAACTATTCCATGGCTAACTTAGAGGCTATGGTGATACGAGAAGATACATGTATCATGTTACAACGACCAAGTGTGTCATATCAGCCTTTGCAGGCGAGAAAGGCTTGTTTTACTGAACAGTACTTTGCTAACCCTACGCTTTCGCAAACGCAAATCTCGACACAGGTGTCTTGAGTGGCCACGGCTTATCCTTATACTCAGCCAACCACACCGCATCGCTATTAAATACTTCCAGCACCTTCTTTGCATCATCTGGCAATTGAGAAACAGGCCCCAGTATCCTCAACACATCGTCAAACCTTTCTGCATCCACCTCGACAAACTTGACAATGGCAAGCAGCAAAGCTTGCAAACTTTGCGCCAGTGTCTTGGTAGAAGTATCTATGTATGCTTGTTTTGTGCTGATTGCAAGATTTGCATGGTGTTGATGTGATTTTGGCGCCGAGGCATTGATTTCCAGAACGAGTTTGCGGTGTAGAGACAGCAATCCAGGCCACAAAGACTCGATGCGGGTCCGCATAAAGGTACCTGCGTGCTCGCACATTGTAGCGATGATGGTAAGAGAACCACTGACGATAAATGCTTCCGTGTCGAAGAGACGCGAAGTTACCTCAGGCCATAGCGTGTTTACGAGGGGCAAAAACGAGTTTTCGTGTTTTGCGAGGGCAGGGATGGTGGTGTTGAGGAGAGAGAAGAGTGAGGTGCGTAATGAGGGCGAGGAAGAGGAGAGGTAATGCTGAGTCAATTGTGTGATTTTCAGGAGCAAAGAGTAGGTTTTGGGGGCTGGTGGGTGCGACTCTGAGGGCTCGGGATCTTCGAGTTGGGAGGATGGTGCGTTGTCGTCTTCTGGGTCGAGGAGGCTGGTTGGCGGATCCAAAGCATCAATGGGCTTCTGTGAAAGACTCTGGATGATTTGGATAAGGTCTGTGAGATGCGCGGGTTTCCATCTGCTGGATTCCTGTTTCGGTGTTTCTGGTTCGTTTGTGATGGCGAGCAATGGAGACTTTACTCCCTCTTCTGCCATGGTGCGCAGAACGGCGAACAAAAGCTCAACTAGTGTAGTATAGCCATGATAGTCTTCCAACGCAGCAAAGATGCTTTCAAGTGTGTCTTCCAAATAAGGCAGCAACGACGGACCAGCCAGCCGCACCATCATGAGCAAAACTTGGGGTCCCTGTGGCGACACATCAAAGGCATTGAGCTTCAACGCCACAGCATTGACGAGGTAATCAACATTGGACACGATAAGCTCGCCCGCGTCAGTGTAGCCACACGCGTCCGCGACGATGTTCAAACATGTCATTGCATGATTCCGAACATATCCTGACTCTGAGCCAAGGTGATGGAGAATAGGGTACAATGCTTCCACCAGCTCATCGCGGAAATCGACACCATAGCGTTGCGCGTGAAAAGCAACGGCTTCAAGAGCCAGACTCTTGAGTCGCCAGTCGGAAGATTCGTCATTCTCCAGCACCTCCAAGGAGAATGAGTACAACTGTTCCCGTAATGATATAGAGTGGTCCTTGGAGTACAGATCGCCGATCAGCATATCATTCATGAAGCCGTCGACTTCATCGTTGTTGTTCTGGAGATCTTGTAATATAAGCCAGAATGTTGCAACCTGGGTGGTCTTCTCCGACGTCCTCAGCGCTAGCATGAGATCTGAAGCAAGGCCCAGAGATGAACGTGCGCTCTTCAACTTCTTGAGCATCTGACTGATGTATCTCAGTATTGTTTCTTGAGTCTTGTATTCCGCCAGTGGTGAAGTAAACGTCAACGACTTTTGACTCGTCTTTGGCGAGATGTCAGAGATGGTGATAGGCGTGACTCTAGATTGCTTCGCATTGCGGTCGACTGAATGTTGCAGTGTTGTCATCACGCTATCCTTGAGACCGCTTGCGAGCATTCTTGAAATCATCGACATATCAACCTCAGTGCTAGCCAGTATCGTGTAGGCGCCGAAAAGCTTGCCGAGGGATCGTTCTTTTGCCTGGTCGTCGTTTGACTGCATGATTCGCACCAAGGAGAGCTGTTCGTTGCGGAATACTGTTGCCAGAAGGTCTGATATCGACGAGTTGTTCTGTGCCAAAGCTGCAATCTTGTCTCTGTAGGAAGCATTCGAATCTGCTTGCATGAGCAGTAAGATGGTCTCTGCTGCCAAAGCACAGGAGTCTGCTAGTGCATGGCTACACTCAGAGAGAAGTGTCAAGTTGAACTCAAGCACGGCTGCTTGCACTTCCGGGCGTTCGTGTGTGCGTAGTCTGTTGATGTTTGCTATCGCGACTTTCAACTGTGCTGCCGTCGCTTTGACCCAACTACTATCGAGTTTTGTAGTTTTTGTATCATTCGAAGGTGCTGCATCCTTTGCTGGAGACAATAGCCGATCGACTAATTCATCTCTGAGAAGTGCCCTGAGGAGCGATTCGATTGTTTGCAAGCCAGCAATCAGAACTCGCCAATGCCGGCGACCTTTGGTGTTGGGTGTGAGAGTCTTGGTCCACGATGACACGACACCAGGCAAAAAGCTAGACAGCACTTCCATATCATCTATGCAAGTAACAAGTGCCTTTAATGCATCTGCTGCCGCTAGTTGAACCTGAAAAGATTCTCCAGTGACGATGCCTTCGAGAGTCACCGAGACAGCATGACCCAAAGAAGGTACATTTGCCGTTCCAACCAGAGAAGCTTTCCCTGCAGAGTTGGCACTCAGAGACTGGAAGAGCGCTTGCATGCATCGAAATCCAATCGCGCGAAGCTCGTCCGTGGCAAGCCCTGTAGGCACAGTCTTGCCAGAAGTATCGCAAGTAAGCGTCAAGAAGATCAAAAGCTGACCACTCAAGTTCAAGTCAATCTTTGTAGTCCAGCCTTTGGAGATGAGAATAACTAGACACTGCAGACACGCTTCCATGGCCTGAACTGGAAGATCTCGACTCGCTTTGAGGACCTGTGAGATGGGAAAGAAGACATAATCGGCCAGTTTGTGGTCAAATGTGTCTGGTCGCGTTGTAATGTCTTTCAAAGTCTTTGATAATGTCTCGAGAGTTTGGATGATGTTGTCGGCAGTCCTGTGGTTGCCCGCAAACGCTAAGGTCGACTGGCTGAGGGCAATGCAGATTGGTTTGAGCTATACATGGTGAGAACCGCATTTACAACACTATCCACGCGCCGCTACTCACTTNNTCTGGAATGCCTCATTTCTCCTGTCCATCTTATTGCGTGTTCCTGATTCGAGTCGAAAATGTTTATGGAATCGAATTGTGCTCAGCAGAACTTCAGAACTGCTTGATCATGATCTGCCAAGACTTCTATGCTGCCAGTACAACCCTGGCCACCTTTTCCTATCGTCCAGCGCGTGTCGTCTCGCCCATCATTCATACATACAACTATGCCTGCGTAGAAATAGAGCAACTCGAAGAACGTCATCTGAATCCTAATGCTCACGTTTTGGACACATCAACCTATCGAAGCTCAGTGTCGTAACCCGACACCTTTATGCACGGCGTTCTTGAAACAGGACACGAAGCAGCACGTATCTCGTGTCGATTTGAAAACATATAGACAAGGTTGATCTACATAATCTGGGTTCACTTGTAGCGCACTCCTATTTAGCCATGACAGGTTCCTTTCGATGTCAGAACAAAGGACTGTTTTCTAAGTTCTTCCGCGCCGAGGGCCTGCGGGCGTAACCTGCTGTCCACCAAGGTTATGTAGATCCGGGCCTGCAAGCTGCAGCTACGTTGTCAAAATCCGTCATCTGCTCGTCCCACATCAACAAGCTAGAAACCTTGTGTCCACTACATGTCAAAGACCCGAGCACTCACCGAGAAGCACTCGGAGAATGCACCGATCTGGAGGCAAGGAGTTACTTGTAGTCTTGAGTAGAGGATGTAATTTTTACTGCATAGTGATATGCACGAGCCAGAGCCGAGTGCGGGAGATCTACGCGATGCGGCTTCAGCCAGCATCACGAACATCCCGGAGCCGGCCCTTGGGGGTCCATCTGAGGCAAGGGCTGCTATGAGGATTGTTCTAGTCGTGCTTCTCTGCCTCTTGTCATGCACAGAACCGTGAGCCGTTACTATCTACAGCATTGCACAATGCGTCTTGACCCAGAGTTGGAGCGAAAGAGTCATGTACCCGAGCACTAAGATCGTGATGCGCGTCAGCGGCCAGCCGTTCAAAAGTCGTTGCCCACTTTGCGCCTGAACTCAGCCAACCCCTTGTAGAGGTTTAGCTACAATAGATGGACCTGATTAGCGTACCTTGTTGTGGGCAGATTTAGGTTGTACTCACGAAACGCCGTACGTGTTCATGATTCACGAAAGTAAACCTGGCCCTCGTGGTGCCTACAAAATACCTTGAAGATTCTTTACCTTACTCCCTGGTGCCACTTCCGGGGTGTTCTGTGGCGCACCACTCATTGCTCACGCGCATGGTTAGTCCGGACCAGATCGTGGAGAGATTCCGATTCTCGAACTTCTCGAACTTCTCGAACTTCCTGGTGCCAGCTATGATGAACTCGAGGCGCTCTCCGGTACCTAGAGGTGCTAGAGAATGTGAATGGTCAACGGCCGTAAAGCCCTGATAGAAGCCGGTGAACTGTCTTCCAGACGTGTAATTGAGGGGCCCAGAGTTTCTCTGGCGTGTTCGTGGCATTGAAAATGTTTCGGCCGTACACCTGCTCGTATCATGTGGCAGACACTCGTATGCCTCTGTCTGTTGCTTCCTATCGCTGGAACCTCTCGTGGTGTCCAAAAGTCGAAGTAGTCAAGTAGACGCCAAAAATGGGGAAGCATCTTACACCCAGCCGGCTGCCTCGTGGGTTTCGAAGCATGGCGGAAAGCTTGAGCATGGATAATGGCGGGTTCTAGAAAGAAGGATCACAAACTTTGTAGACGACCTTGCCAGTGGCTTTGATTTGAAAGGTTGTTCCTGTTGAAGGTTCCAACGATGAGGATCAGATAAGTGATAACAGAAAAGTTCTATACGAGAAACATCAGCTTCTCCTGGCGGCCCTGACACGTGGACCTTGGGCGGTACACCAGGCAAGTGAGCAGACAGGCTGGGGGTAGAACGTGTACAAGGAAGATGGCGAGCACGATGGCACATCATATGTCGACGATGACGGCGACCTATATGGGAGCGGACGTGGATTGGTTTCTTGCGAAGCAAAGCCAACGTCCAATCATACAGCAGGGAAGCCCCGAGCTGGAAATGTATTGATCTAGCAGGGCGAAGTGATGGTAGAGCATGGCCTCGCGTGGCAGACGTTATAGAGTTTGTCAATCAACGTGCCGAGAGGCCGAGAGTTTGAACGAGTCAAAGCATAAAATGGCTAGCTGATACAGAAGCTATGTGAAAGCCGCTGTCGTTGTGGTGGCTGTTTCGAAAGTGCAAAAGATGGAGAAGAGGGAGCAAGAATCTCTTGTAATAGAGATGGACGTTCGAAGCGAGAGTTTACGTGCCTGGTAATGGGTGTGTTCGCGTGACAGGAAAAGACAGACATAGGAACAACTTAAGCGGCAGGTTGGAGCGAAGGGCCTGACGGGGGAAGCAATATGGCAATCTGCACAGGGCTCAAGCTAGGCAGTTGCGACTCGTGGGCCGTGGCAGAGTCAGGTCAAGGCGCTCGGAGCAGGCGGAGCCAAACGAAGAAGGTGAAGAGGTGCGAGCGGGACTCGCATGACAAAAACAGAAACTGGGCAGAAAGCAGGAAGAGCGTTTGAGTGATGTTTCTGAGGCCAACGGCCCAGATGGGAGGTTTGACCCGGTGAGATGGAACGGAAGGCCGTTGGATATACGGAAAAGTCATGGAATATTGGATGGTCAATAAGGTAGGCACATGCAGGCGTCAAGACAAGGAGGCGAGCGACGCGAGATTGGGACACAGCTGCAGATTGTCATCTCTGTGGCAGTGGGCGGCGGGCGAGGCACTGGGTGCTGATTGCGTTCCAAGACAGGGGAGCGAAGTCTGGTCACCTAAGGTAGGGAAGTTAGCTTGGAGCCGGATTAGATTGACTCTGAGACCCTTAACTCAGCAAGCGTTTTTTCTGGGCCGAGCGCAAGTGCTCGATTCAGGCGGGAGCGCTCAGAGCATATTCTGGGTTATGCCTCATACTATCGGCATCTCAGACCCAGCGTCCAGTTCGTCATTGCGACAATCCGCTACATGGACATGGCCGGCCCTCAACACTCGGCGCCTGTCAATTTTGCGTCGGTCTTTCGTCCAGGCTCCCGGAGCAGCAATCTGAGTCCCAATACGCACACGGCCACCATCACCGCCAACCACTCGACCACGCCCAAGACGACGACTCGACGCTTCGCTTCGCTCAGAGGTCTGCATGACCGCCCGCACTCGTCTCGTCTGAAGAAGCAGCAGACGCAGAGCCCGGCTCCAGTCCCGACCCCGACCGTCCACGACGAACTCGGCGACATGATCGATGCTACTGGTCCAAAGTCTCGACGAGAGCGCACCCTGATCGGAACAGAGTGCGCAGCATGCGAGGAGCCGCTGGAGCACACGTTGCGCGGCGAGCGCATCCTGCAGCTGTCGTGTGGCCATGTCGCCCACGAGGCCTGCTTCTACGAGTTCATCAAGGAGTTTGAGTCGCAGGAATGCCCGTCGTGCAACGCTCCATTGGGACTCGACACCAGCCGCGGCGGCAATCTCAACTTCGGTAACACAGACCTCTACCATCGACCACTCTGTCGGTAACTGACTGACAACCTCCANGCAAAACTCAACAACCTCGTCAACAACCGCAGTACAAACAGCCCAGACTTGCGCGATCGTACAAGAGACTCGGACAACACTCCCACTCCCTGGGACGACCCGCCTCGCCATAACCACCAAAGTCATAGCTCTGTCCCCAGCCAGCCTCATCAAAGTCATGGCTCCATCCAGAACCATGCTCATCACAGCTATAGTTCGGTCCCGAACCAGCCCCACCATAGCTACAACTCGGTCCCAAGCCAGACTCAGCACAGTCACCACAGCTACAATTCCGTCCAGACTGCCATACTCGACCCGAGCCCGCGTCCACCCACCCAGCAAAGCTTTACACGCTCTCATCAACATAACAACAGTGTCAACACGCACAATACGCACCTTACCCACAGCAACAGCCACCACAGCAGATCAGTAGAGTCGCGTCAGCACGAGAGAAACAACAGCCAGGCCACCGACGAGTCTCGCAATCGACGCATCGAGTACGACCTCCAATCCATCGCTGCCGACATACCAAGCCCACGGCCCACCATCAAGAACCCCATACCTGCTCCCACCGTCACTGTCCGAACCGAGTTTCCTACACTGAACCGAAGCCGACAGCAGCAAAGCCTGACCTGTCTCATCACGGTCGAAGTCGTCGACGGAAAATGGCATGCCGATCCCGAAGACATCATTTCTCCTGCTGCCGACAGTATCGATGCCATGTCAATGCCCCGCTCGCCTGAACCGCAAAGGCAACTTGACCTTCCCCACACTCCTTCTCACGTACTGGACCGTGTCACCGAAGACCTGCATACCAAGGTCGACAACTGGCACGGCCTGGATTTCTCAAGGTAAACAAATCTCACCCTTCCTCCTGCGATCCAGTACTGACACCCGTTTTCCACNAGATTTGGCAGACTGCTGCTTCATGGCACCATCCGTGTAGGAAAAGACCGCCAGTCGTGGCAAGATCTGGAGTGCTATCTGTTCACTGAGATGCTCATCTGTATCAAGGAGAAGAAGCCTCAACACCAGTGGGAGACGGCCTCTGAATCTCCCAAGATGAGAACCAAGTGCACGCTCAAGGGCTCCATCCTGATCAAGAGACACCTGAAGCAGGTCCAGTTTGTTCCTGAGCAAGACATACTCACTCTGAACCTTTCAGTCGCCGAGCTACCGCATTTCCACCTTCAATT